CAATGTCATTCCTTCTGCTGGAATGGATGCAAGGATGGGGACGAAGGGAGGGGAAGCTTGCCGTTCCCCTCATTCTCTACTCCGACCTCTTGCCTAGAAGGCTAGAGCTAGAAGCAGCAAGAGAGAGAGAGAGAGCCTTCAGCTCCGATCTGGTCTGGTTGGTTTTCCCCGCAGTTTTCTCGGTCAGGCCATCCGCCATGCCTTGCCTTGCCTTGCCTGTCATACTGTCGTTTGTTCCGGTCACGCGAGGTGTCGTGCCGTCCTTCACTCTCTACGTCCTTCCCTCTTGTGCTTCAGCATTCCCGTTGCTTTGTGTTGACGGGTGGGATTAAATTCACGGATGGGTTGGATCTCATCTTTGTTTATCTGAGCTCAACTTACTTGGTTGATGTGCTCGCGGGGGTTCTCTCATCAACTCTTCTCTTTGCTGTCGGGTCATCGACCTTGAGTTCTAGATCCGTGGTGTTGCTCCACTGCATCCGGTCACGGCAATCCCCCAAGTCCAGCAGCAACAGCAGCAGCAACGGCAGCAGAACCACAAAGAACGACGGGTGTCTCGGGGAGGAGACGACAACCCCAAGGAATAAAAATCAAGGTCCCAAGGAGGATTCCCAATCGTGAATCTAGGGTTCCAAAGTAAGTTGCAATCGAGCTGGAGAGGGAGGCGCATGGGGACCCGCTGACCAGAACGCCGCAGCAAGTAGTTAGTCGTATCCAACCAACTATGACTGACGCATCCTTTCCCCCATCCGGTGGAGCTTCTCGAGCTGCTCTCCTCACCACTTCCACTTCCACTTCCACTTCCACTTCCACCACCTCCACTTCTTCCACCACTTACTACTCCAACCCTCCCAGTATCTCTTCCATCCCTCGTCGTTCCTCCTATGCTTCGGTTCTGTCTGGAACAGCCGCCCTCTCGCCCCCCACCGTCCCCCACAGCCCTTTCTCGCATCTGACCCCCTCCTACTCCACCGCCTCTTATCCCCCGCCGCCCTTTGCTCCCGACGCCCGCCTGCTGAGGCCCTCCGTCGCCGTGGATGCCGAGATGCAAATGAACTCGCCCTGGAGGCCGTCCCCCGGCGATTCTCTCCCCCCCTACTCCCGCAAGTTCGCCAACCTCGCTCGGTTCGATCCCTTCTCCCATAGCCCCGGTCCCTTGGCCGACTCGGCCACGCCCTACTTCACCCCATCCTATCTCCGCAACTCCCGCTATGTCTCCCGCCTCGATGCCGCCCGTCGGGCCAAGCTTGCAGCCCACCGCGATGGGGCCGGCCCCTCGACCACGTCGAATCCCATCTCCACCTCCTCCAGCCAGGCCAGCCTGCCCCGGATTGCGCCCTCCCATCGCGGGATGACCTATGATATCATAGAAAGGGAACCCGCCGGCGATGACGAACATTTGCTTCCGCTGCCCTCCCGATGGAATGAGGACGACAAGTATTCGGGCCTGGAGCTCACGAACGGAGGGCTGGAGGTTCGGTACACCGGGCCGGCCAACAAGCATGATCAGGAGGCTGCCGCCGTCCGGGCGGATAACCCCATGCCCCCGCAGTGCGGCATCTACTACTTCGAGATCACCATCATATCCAAGCCCAGAGAGGGGTAAGTGACGGGCTCGTCCCCAGGCTTCATAGCGATGCTTATAGTATCAGGATGATCGGAATCGGATTCTCGAGCAAGAAAGCTTCAGTCGAACGACTACCAGGATGGGAGCAGGAATCCTGGGCTTATCACGGTGATGATGGCAAGTCCTTCTTTGGAGAAAGCCAAGGGCAGGGACGACAATACGGGCCGACCTTTGGGGCTGGTGATACCGTGGGATGTGGTGTGAATTTCTCCACGGGATGTGCTTTCTTCACCAAAAATGGCGTGTTCCAAGGTACCACTTCGCTGCTACCGTGAATGCCCTCTCGGACCCCCGAGCTAACCAACCCCAGGGAATGCGTTTCGGGAACTACGGAACCTGAAGGTCTACCCGTCGGTGGGCATGAAGAAACAGCCGCCAGTGCATCTGGCCGTGAACTTTGGCCAGCAGCCGTTCATGTTCGACATTGACGACATGGTCAAGGTAGCTTACGAGGAATTCATACGTGGTGGAAGAATTTAGCTAATGGTTGCTTGGCAGAGAGAGAAGTCATTGATCCATTCCGAGATTAGCCTGACCAGCACGGCCAATCTCCAACCGCCGTTGGATGAATCTGCCCTGCTCCAGGAGTTGGTGGCGCAATTTCTGGCCCACGATGGCTATGTGGAGACCGCTCGAGCGTTTGCCGAAGAAGTGGCGGCCGAGTCATCCGCGCTGGAGAATGGTCGGCAGGCGCCCTTGAAGAAGTACGAGGTTGAGGAGGATGTCGAAGCGATCAATCGGCAGAGTATGACTGACCCCTTAGTTCATGCGCTATAGCCGTACTGATTGGCGGGCAGAGATCCGAGCGGCCATCCTGGAAGGAGACATCGACAAGGCGCTCAAGTATACTAATGCTTACTACGCGAACGTGCTGCAGACCTATCCCCTGATCCACTTCAAACTACGATGCCGCAAGTTCCTAGAGATGATGCGTCGCTGCAACGAGCTGTCGGCGTCGGCCACGAAGCGAGGCAAAGCCGCCAACGGGCTGTCAGACAGCAGCGCGGTGTTCGACCAAGAGATGGAGTTGGATGAGCAACTCCAAGAAGGGGACGGGTATGAGGCGGATGGCATGGACATGGAGGAACCGGAGACGACGGCGCGGTCTAACGAGCTGCTTACGGAGGCGGTGCAGTACGGGCAGCAGTTGTTCTTGGATTATCCCCCGGAGGAGCGAGGTGGGGACCGAAAGATGCTGGATGATATCTTCTCGCTGGTGGCGTACCCGGACGCGAGACGGTCAGTGCATGGGCACTACCTGGACCCTGCGGGGCGGATTGCGGTAGCGGAAGAGTTGAACTCGGCCATTCTCGGTATGTCTTTTTCTCTTCCTCCTGGGGGGTTGCACGGGGGCCGGGTTGGCTGACAAGGACAGTGTCACTGGGCAAGTCGTCATCGGCGGCCCTGGAGCGGCTGTACCAGCAGACCGAGGTGCTGGTGAATGAGATCAGCGAAGAGGGCGGCGCTGGGGCGTTTATTAATGTGCGCAATGACTTTCTGCTTTGAGCGGGGATGGATAGGCCCTGGGTTGTTGCGGGATTACGTGTGATTACATCTGGCATCTGAAGACTGCACCTTCTTCGCGTGTATGGGTTGCTGCTGGGTTCTGAACGGGCGCCTCCGGCCTGGAGATACTAAGGGAGCGCGCGCGCAACAGAAAGCGACAGAGAGCAGGCGAGCCTGCCGGGGAGGGGGGGGGGCCGCTGTAGGGACATACTACTACTATCTGGTAGGAACGTAGGAAAGCGAATGACATACACCGTTCCACTCCGAACCCCTGTCATTAACGATGGAGCCCATGTAGCCTCCGGCAACACGGCATGACAGCTGCAGGCTAACTGGCTCTGGTTGATCGGACTTCTGAGAAAGAGGTTGGGCGAGAGTGACAGCAACATGGGCCCCTCGGCCCCATCAGGCACCGACCAGGTCGTCACCTTGTCAGTTGTCACTTGTCAGTGGTCACAAACTAGGCAGTGGTTCCTGCTGCGAATCATTGGGCGATCGGATGCAAGTGAGGGGTGGAGCCAGGAGACTGGAGCCATACTAATTCTTATCATGGATGGATGAGGCTTGCCTGAACGGTATCGAATGCAGAAATGCAGCCATGCAGGGGGATTATTTCCCATGCCAATGTGGTATTGATTAATGTCCGTACGGTAACGGAGGCCCGGGTGGTAACAAAGCCCCGAGGGCTCCACCAATCCACAGCCCCCGATTGCCTTGCCGCCTTTGGGGATTGAACGATGACGAAACTGCTTCCTCCTGCGAGGGCCTGGCGGATCATTCCGTGGTTGACCGACGCTTGTTCTACTCTCCCTCGCCGGGCCTTTTTCCACCCAGATGGTGTTGTTTGGTGGTGGTGGTGGTGGCTGCGGTGGTTTTGTTGCTGGCTCTGTCTCTCATCTACTTTTAGCAGGAAACGCAACTATTCCGAACTCTCTCTCGACTCTTTGCAACTAAGACCATCTCCACTCGCCTCCCCCCCCGATTTAATCTCTCACCTCGATGAACTGGCGTCTCCAGTCCAGCTCATCGCTCCGATCAAGGGGTGCCAACTCACCCTCCGTCTCCTCCGTCTCCTCCTGCTGCTGCCGCTGCCGCTGCTCCTGCTGCTCCGACCAGCCATGGATTCCGATCAGAGCTCTAGCTCCCCATCCCATCCTCCTCACCCACCGGCCGCTAGTCGCCTGCCCTGCATTCCCTCCCACTCGGCCGCCTCCGACTCGGTCTCCCCCCTCGCCCTCCGCTGCTGCTGTGGCCGTGACGATTGCGCATTCCTGCACCATAATCATGTCGCCCTCGAGGGGCTCGAGAAGGATTTGGCAACCGCCGCGAGGCTGGGCCAGGTACGTTGTTGTCGCCTGCTTTTTCCGTCGCTTTGGCGGCCCTGTCCCCTGCCCTGTCCGTTTCCGCCGGTGGATTTTTAAACTTCGCTCGCTTGTTGGTTCGTCGACGTCAGCATGGCCAGGCGGCGGGGGGGGGGAGTCGTACAACCTGCCTCTTATTTCCCTTAAGTATGACTGCCAGGGATCTTGGCTGGCTTGCCTGGTCCCCCGGGTCTGCCCATACGGCTCTCGTTTGCGTTGCCTTGGGTTGCGTTGTGCCGATCGATCTATCTATATCCTTCCTGCCCACATACTCCGGCCTTTTGTACATACTTTTTTTTATTTCCGCACATACTTGCCCTCGTTGGATGGAGGGCCTTGTTGACTCTGTTTGGTCGCTGTATCCACCCGTGGAATTTGATCTTCGCTTTTGAATCTGGGAGAGAGAAAAGACCAGACAGACGGCGATCGGTCGCTCGCAATCTTCCTCATGGCCTCATCCCAGCTGGCGTCCCCGGTTCTCTCCCATTGCGTTTTTGTCCGTCATGACTGCCTTCCCAGATAAAGCTGCCATGGCGGCAGCCACCGCCAGCTCGTCCTCGCTAACCTTTGCTCTCCAGGCCCTACTCCACCGTCATGAATCCTACATGGCCGAGGCCGAAGAGGACCGCCATCGGTTACTCGTCAGTATCGAAAATCTAGAACGGGAAAAGCGGGAGGTCCAGGCCGAGAATGCCCGCATCATCGAAGAGAACCGCGGCCTCTTAGAACAACTCGAAGGCCTCAATAGGGCCGTCGCCGATTCCGACTCGCATTCCAAGTCGCTCGCCGCCCGCCTCGAGAGCACCGAGGCGGAGCTGCGCAAACTCTCCCTATCCGCGGCCCGCGCCGCCGACCTCGAAGCGCAATTGGCGCAGATGGAAGTCGAACAATCTAAGTTGCAGGAGCGTCTGCAGTCCGCCCAGGAGGACTCCAAGTCGGCCGTCCAGCGCTGGAAGCAGGCCGAGTGCACCTTGCGTGACCTGCACGACCAGGTGGATCGCATCGAAAAGGAAGCCCGGGAGGAACGGGACCGACATGCGGAGCTGGTCCAACGCATGGAGCGGCGGAGGACGGTGGAACGAGAGCTCGATGGCGCGGCCGGTCGATTGAAGGGCGCGGCCGCTGCCCACGAGCTGGGGCGCAATCGCGGCGGTGCGACGGTGGTCTCCCGCTTCGTCCGTGATATCCTGCAGGACAACGCCAACCTGCAGATGGGCATCATGGAGCTGCGGGAGATGCTGGAGAGCTCCAACCAGGAGGTCGAGAATCTGCGGGATCAGATTCTGTCGCACCAACCGTTGGCGTCCGAGGGCCAGGAGACCCGGCCGGCTACGACTCTGAGTCAGGAACTGGAGTCGAAGGAGTCGCGCCGGGCGTCCCAGGAGCTTCACATCCATCACCACTATCACTCGCCAACGGCTCCGGCCGGGCCCAAGAAGGAGCGGGGCTCGCTCTTCCGTCGCTCTAAAAAGAGACGCTCCCTCGGCAGTGCTGCGGTTCTGCACTCGGCCTCGGGGACGCCGCTCGCTCGCAAGGCCAATCACCGCTCTGAATCCTCGACTTCTTCCGCATCCACGATACTATCGCAAACCTCCGTCTCGATTCCTCCCACGGCTCCTCACCGTTGGTCCATGCAGTCCCCGGTGTCGGATTCGATGGCGAGCTCTCCCCAGTCGGCATATCAACCCTCATCGATCTTTGACCGGGTGGACCGCGGCTTTGACTCCTCCCAGCCGACGAGCCCGGACAGCACAGTCTTCTCGTCGCCGCTGCGGAGTGGCCGGTTCAAAAAGACGCACGTTGACGCGGCGTATCGCACGTTGGAGGGGGATGGCTTGGCTGCTGGCAGCGACGATGACATAATTCACGACTACTTTCAACGCCGAAACAGTGTCGAGTATGGTGGCAGAGCTGCCCTGCAGTCTGTTATTCCGGAGGAGAGGGAGGATGCTCGATCCATGCACGATACCGAGTCCGAACGGGCGGCATCTCCTGCAGTGCCAGAGCGCGTCTTCTCCTCGCCGTACCGCGCTCCACGCCGCAGTGCCTCCCATGAAAGCCTCTTCTCCGTGGCCGGCATGGACATCCATACTCCCAGCCGTCGCCCCTCGCGACTGAGCGACCTGCACTCCGGTGCCGTCCCGGTTCGCATTCCCCGCCGGATCATGTCGTCCAGCGCCGACTTTTTCTCCACGCCCCCGGTTATCTCGACGAGCATCGTCACTGCGGACCGGGAGCCCGCCATGGTATCCGACCAATGCCCGCAAACGCTCCTTGCGTCGGTGGCGGGCAGCAGAAGCCAGACCCTGGTTGAGAACGACCCTGAAGGCACAGCCCACTCCCGCAAACTCTCCCTGGGTCGGCGCGTCGGCGGCTGGGTACGCGGACACTGGGGCACGGCCCCGATCTCGTCGAACGAACCCATCGCCGAGGAGACGCCTGCCACAGTCTCTGACACGCCCGCTCCCCGGCCCTCATCCGCCGGCTCGAAGAAGAGCAAACATTGGCCTGAGCTGGGCGCTCCTTTGCGTTTTCGGCACCCGGGAGTGAACCAGAAGGGGCCGATTATGGGCTTCCGCCCGACGTCGCGAGTGCCAGTGTCGATTCATGCCGAGCAAGTGGATGAGGGCTTACTCCGGGAGAGTCTCGCTGACGCCCACTAGCCTTATGGTTTTTAATCTAGAGAGTATCTTGTTGATCATGGATGCTATCATATATCCCTTCTTTCGATGTCGATACTACCTGCTTACCCTACCTTATACTGGGACTCTTAATGAGCGTGATTCGGCATCATCGCATGCATACATTCTTTGCTATTGGATTTTTCTATCTGTGTGTGTCTGGCTTTGGTGGCCAGGCTGTGGAGGTGTTCTCTCTTTTCTGTCCTTTCTTTGCTTCATTCTTTCTTATTGTTTCCCCTTCCTAGAGGCGTTCCGATAGATAGATTATGATACCCATGAGCGATGTCCGATTACCCAACACTATCTTAGAAGCGATCATTTACTTTTTTCATTAAAGGAGATTCATGTCTATGAAGAAGCAGAAGTAGAATCAGGGTACGAGATCCGATACGTCCGGATCGGAATCATCGTCGAATGAAAGAAGCCCGTCTGCTCTGATTCCGCGGGCGATTCAAACGGGATACGTTCTACGGTTAGACGTTGATCCTCTGTATATATCATAGACTCGTTAGAAGACATATTCCCAGTTCAGACATAGGTCTAAGGCCGGGGGATAAACGACAGAGTTCGGTTAGAAGGAAGAAGGGAATGAAACGCACCACAAGCCTTCAAAAACGTGCCGAAGGTATGTTCATTGCGTAATGTTGCGGAGATGAGGAATTCCTTGACGCGGTAGTTCTCAAAGAGGTCTTTGACGGTCTGGACGAGCAGAGGGACGAGGTCGACGTCGTAGATCTGGTGGTTGGTCAGTTCGGGACCTATGTGGCCTGCGGGGTTGGAGAGGGATGTGGGTGGACAGAGAAACATGAAGTGGGTGTGACACAGCCGCGACACACCACGACGTAACCATCAGGTCGGGAAACTCAACCCCAAAGAGGTAATGAAACCCAACCTTTGGCCAGCCAGACCCGACGAGACTCAATCGAAAAAAGAATGAAATGAGATGTGAAAGGGAGTGAGGAGGAAACGTACCAAATCCGCCCCGAGGGCAACATCAAACTCCACCTTTCCCGTCATCCAGTCGTCCTTTGCCTCACCATCATCGTCCTCATTCTGGGGACAAGTCTCCAAATCCCTTCCCCACTCACAAATCCTCCCTCTAAACTTCTCCTTCTCCAGTTGATTCCGCTCCGCACAATCCTCAATCTGCCGCATCAGCCCCACCTCCCGATCCGTCGCAACCACCATTTCCGCCTCGAGATACTTCGCACAGAGCATCGACACTAGACCCGTCCCCGCGCCTAGCTCTAATACCCGTTTCCCAGCAATATGTGCCGTTCCTTCCGGTGTAGCGGAGAGATATGTAGCTAGGTGGAGCGCGGCTTCCCATGTCCGGTGGCCGGTGGTGCCCGCGGTGAGGATCGCATTGCGGGATTCGGAAGTGAGGATTGTTCTTGCTTCTGGTACTTCACATCCTTCAACTTGATTGCCGGTGAGTGTTGGCGCGGTGTAAGTGATATAGGTCAATTGTTGGGCTTGTTCAATTGAGGATGGCTTGGGGGTGCAGAGGAGTGTGCTGTAAGTCTCTAGTAGGTTGTCGGAGATTTCCTGGTGGGGGGGGGTTAGTTTTCAAATTGGGTTGGGGAGATGGAGATGGGTATGCAGTGCATACTGGTAGGGTTCAGCGTACATCCTCCTCGGGGTTGGAGAGTAGGGATTCTAGTCTCGTGATGAGTCGTTTGAGAACGCGCGTGCGATATGCTGGTGGGGGGAGGGGTCTGGAGCTGGGTTCGGCGAAGAGCGTGCGGTAGATGGTTTCTTGGGTGGTGGGGTCGAGAAGGGTACGGTCATCGGGAAGGGTGAGAAGGGGGGGCTCTAATTGTTGGTAGTATTGGGCTGTGAGGAGTGGGAGGGACATGTTGATTCTGCCAATCGTATAGATAGACTGGAGATCCAAGTGAACTGCGGAGTATAGATCGGAGTAAGTGGGATCATTACGGGTATAGTTAGTTAACTAGATGTGAGCGATTACTCAGCACTATGCGCGTGGCCCCTAGCTGGATAGAGACTAGCGGAAATGAGTCAGCAACTACCCATATACGGTAATCCGCTAGCCGGGTATGGTTAGCATGCCCCTAGCCGAGCCCACAGCGACTGCACAACGAAACGAAGCCAAAATTGAATCGAGCGCATCTCGAGCCCGCCAACGACTGACAGCGACTTCGACAACCCGCGCCCCCATCTGCCCTTCAGCATCTCCCTGTCGCACGCAGATTTTCGCTGTCAACTGCACCTGCAACCATGGCCGACGCTCCCGTTACCCTGCGGACTCGCAAGTTCATCCGCAACCCCCTGCTTGCTCGCAAGCAGATGGTCGTGTAAGCTCCCTATCATCATCACCACATCGAGCTGGCGGCCGAAGAGGATACACCAAGGAAGGGGATAATTTGTGGAAGAGGAGGGAATGGACAAGATCAGTCCGGTTGAATAAGGAAAGATATTTTTGGCAGACGCAGTTCCCATCTGTTATGGTCAATATATCAATATTGGACATCCAAAAAGAAAATAAATATCAGAGGCCGCCAGCGAGAGGGAAGGGAGGAAAAAATGGCATGCTGATGATGTTTCTGTGAATAGGGATGTCCTCCACCCCAACCGCGCCAACGTCTCCAAGGACGAGCTCCGCGACAAGCTCGCCGACCTGTACAAGTCCAACAAGGACCAGGTCTCCGTCTTCGGTTTCCGCACTCAGTACGGTGGTGGTAAGAGCACTGGCTTCGCTCTCATCTACGACTCCCAGGAGGCCCTGAAGAAGTTCGAGCCTCACTACCGTCTGGTCCGCATCGGTGCTGCCGACAAGATCGAGAAGCCCAGCAGACAGCAGCGTAGGTCGACCACCGCTCATGATGGTCCAGGCAATGGAATAATAATACTCACACTGTCCCACAGGCAAGCAACGGAAGAACCGCTCCAAGAAGTTCCGCGGTGTCGCCAAGGTCAAGGGCCCCAAGAAGAACAAGGACTAAGCGGATCGTTTCGATGGATTTCCGTGCGGTTGAAGAGGGGGGTCGTTGCTGGATTCGAATTCACTTTCGGATCATCGGATACCTTACTACTCGGACGACGAAGACGGACGCCGCGGCCCGGGGCTGAAGACGATCAAGAAAAGGATGGATTCCCTGCTGGATATGAGGAACGGGGGTGTGAATGGAGGGCGTTTTCTCATTGTTTTCTACCGTATGGGGCGGCCACCGCCATTTCTCATATCATGACCCCCATGACTTTCGATGACAGGGAAAAATTCAATATCAAATCAGACTTGGAGATCATTGGGCTGTTCTTCGCGCGCGCCGGGGAGATTCGGATGGACATTAAAATCAAAATAAATTCCTTTTCTGTTTCATTTGATCGTTTGCCGTGGTTTAGAGCCTTTAACCCTCCCGCCCCCAGACCGGACCGGCCAGACCTTTCAACCAATCAGATCCACCCAACACCAACCATCGTTTCTTTATTCACGCACCCTATATCGCCGCCCTTAATACAATGCACTGCCGCCCAGCCAGCCATCCATCTCCTTTGATCCTCTATTATCTGATCCCCAGTGCACAGTCCACAATCACACTCCACACTCCAGTCCCCGATCCCTTACCTAGTATTCTTCCCCGTCACCCGTAATATATCGTATTCAATATACATAGTTCCCGATGAACCTCCCAACTTGCCCTACCTGTATCCCTACCACCACCACCAATACATATCCTATATACCATACCATCCACAACATATACAATACCAAATCCGTCACTCCACCCAACCAAAACAACCAAGTAAATGTACCTTCCCTCACCAAGCAGAGACCATTCCGACGACCGGGGCCCAGGCACCGGGAACAGGTATGTACCACCCACCCTGTTCCATCCAATATACTTAGATGTCTTGGGAGGTCGTGTGTAGCATTACGATGGAGGCGGTATGTACTAGTATGTACTATGTAACGGCTTGGCGGGTTGTGGGGGTTGGGTGTGGTTTTAGTGGACTGAGCTTGTTTGTTTGTTGGGGGTGGTGGTGGTGGTTTGACAGAGGAAACTACTAGGGAAGGGGATATGTTTACCGGTTTGATTGAAATACTCGGGCTATCTCCGGTCTGGTAAGTTTGCGGAGGGAATTGGAGGATGGGTATGTATGTATCGTACGGAGTGTGGATGGATGGATGGGGTGATGTTTGCAATGCTAGGAATATACTCCGTACTATCGGGATGCAATACAGTGCTGAATTGACTCCCACAAATGGAGGTATATTTAGTACGAGGACTAGATCTCACATTAGGTCGGGCCAGTAATCATTAGGCCGCCAGATGAACAAGGAAATCAGAAAAAGAAAAAAGAACAGGAAGAATGGTAATTAAAACAGGGCATGGGAGTAAGAGTAGTAGTGAGATGACAAGTGATAACAACGGCGTCCGCCCTCGCCCAGCAAATAATGAAACCGTCGGAACAATCAAGATCAGCACGCCGCCGCAAAACAAAGAAACTACCGACCAGCCTTAAAATGACGCAGCCAACCAACCCTGATATTAGTAGTGTCCGATTGTATCTTCCTCCGTATTGGTGTATGTAGATGTAATGTCACAAAGGATCAGAGCCCGGGACTCTGATGACCTTTTTTTTGTTTTTGCTTCCCTCTCGTCCTGCCTTCCTGCAGGCGGTGGTGTTGGTTTCTCTCTGTCTGGTGTTGGTGGTCTCGTAGGATCGGCGCTGCCAAGGCGCTTAACGGCTATAGATAGCTCGTGAGCTATCGACTAGATATCTACCCTGAAGTCCTCGAGATGCACGGACACCTGGATCCCTAGTACTCACTTGAGCCCAAAGACGGGATGGCAGCGTGATGCATGTCCGTGGTCGATCGGAACGCTGAGGTGGGAACCAACGGAGGACTGGAATGGGGCGCCAAAAAGTGAGGGCGCGAGTAGGTAAGCCCATTCATTAGCAGGGGTTCTAACCCGTCGGCTTTGGAGTGTCCTTTGTCTCGTCTCTCACTGCTACTATAAACATATGTGTCGGAGCCGTAATCAGGAAGGTGGCTATGCGAGAATGTCCTCGACGGTTGCCCATCGCCCGCATCAATCGCATCCATCGTAGTGGGAACTAAAGGCGACGACGGGCCACTGGATGGCAACAACCCATAGAGGCTTTCAGCTGTCGGTTTGGACCGGTTGAGGAGACCGCTTCTGCATCCTCCGTGCGGATTCGGCATATTGCCATGGTTCAGGAAGGCCCCCTTGGGGGTCCAGCTGCCCATTCTACCGTCATGGGGAAGCCCAGAGAGGGCTGCTTCGGGTGTGGTGAAGGCACCCAGCCCCATCTGGGCCTGGTTCCGACCAAGGTTGGAGAGCGTCCGATTCTCCCCTTGCCCTTCCGCCGCAGAAAAGCCCATGGTGGGTACGATGGGCGGGCCTTCGGTCGATTGAGTAGGGTTGAAAACCCCTGGGGGACCCAAGGCAGCCTCAGCATCGCTGTCTGAGAAAACTGGTCCAGTGGGAGTCCTGCCAACAGGAACGCTATGCCAAGCCTTCGGATTCCACGGGTAGAAATCCATAAACACATTCGGGGCAAAACCGGGCATCGTATACGCTGAAGATGGGACAGCGTACGCCGAGGCATCGTCTTCGTAGTGGACCGGGGGGTCGATGCTGAGTGGGAACCGGTGGTATGTACTCGGTGAATGGGCTGACTCTATACCACCGGCATAGTTGGCCGTCCGCGTGAAGGATACCATGCGAGAGGTAGGAGGGGCCGTCATTGAAGCTCCCCCTACCTTTGGAGTCATAGAGGGTACATACAAGCCCGGTCTGTGAGATGACATTGTAGCAGTGGCCGAAGGGCAAGCCCACCCACCGACTTTCGTCTGCATTATGGATGAGTTCACCTGGAGGCTATCAGCGGGCTGTGTCTATTGCAAGAGATCGGGCGGTGATGCAATACATACTCTTAAGAACTGACAGCTCGCGAATCCCGCTGTGCGGCAATTGGAGCAGCCCTGTCCATCGCCGGGATCGCCGCTACACTTAATCTTTCGTTTACGGCACCGATTACACTAGGTGATATCAGCATCTGTTTCAGAGTGCAAGTTTTTCTGAACCTGAAAAGGCAGACTCACTGCAACCTGGATCCGACGCCTCGTGGAGTGCCGATTCTTGCCGTCTAGCTCGGTGCTAGGGCTCATGCAACCGGTGCTCCTATCGACCATGTCGTAATGGGACTCATTGCGTACCAAGGGGGGCATTGATAGGGCTTCTCGTTTGGACGGTGCATCGAAGCCGATCTCGTCGGGGGTGTATATGGGTTGAGCCATTGGTTGATCAATGGGTGCGGAGGAATACATGATGTTCCGTATGGCAAGTCTCGGAGAGAGTCAAGACAAAGTCTAGGAAAGGGGAAAAAGAGGCCTTCTCAAAGGTGGTCTGGGAGCATAAAAAGGGCAGTGGAGCAGGGATGGAGGTGACCAGCATGTTCCGTCTACCATCGAGTATTGAGAAAGGAACCGGGAAGGATGAGGGGGCTTTGGCCGGAAGCAAGGCCAGATTTAAGTCCATGTGTCAGTGGTGCGTCGTCGTTTTGACAGAAGGCCTGGCCCTGTTATTCTTTTTTTTTTTCCCCTTGAATTTTGTTTCTGGGAATATTTTTATTTTGGGGAGGGCCAGTGCTGTTGGGTTCTGGGATGATACCGCTGCAGAGTGCAGAGAGCGATCATCACCTCACCGGGAGCATTTCTCCAGCTCCCCATTTCCCCATTCGAGGTGGGTGGCTAGTTTGATACCTTACTCTTCTGGCCCTGGTGGTACCAGGTCAGAATCCTGCAATTTTCCGTGTTGCATCTGCTTCAAGAAAAGAAAAGAAAAGGAAAGAAAAGAAAGGGCAACTGGAGGATGGAAATCCCCCAAAGCATGCGGATGGCAGGCCAGGCTGGCGAAAATACCCCGGCCCTTTTAGAGGTTCGGTTTCACAAAAGTAACGTTGCACCGGTTGACATGATTTGATAGGCACCACCGCAAGGCCTAATCAGTCGTCGCTGGGACGGTCAAAGATCTCTCTGCCTTGTTTCATCCAATCGCCGTCAAAGGGGCCCTCCACTGGTGCTCATCGTCCGCCACGCCGGGCTCTGGATGATGATGATGATGATGATGATGATGATGATGATGATGATGATGATGATGGCGGTGGTGGTGGTGATGATGACATCCGGGGCTCATGGACGAGACGGCGTCTGTAGCAACGGACCAAGTCAATTGCACGAATTAAGCGGTCGTGGAGCAGACAGCCGCCGGCTACGTTTGCAGGAGGCCTCCCAGATGCGCCCGCCTACCCTACAGTGAACGTGTGCATGTTTGCCCATGATAGGACAATGGTCGGTATACAAACCCTATTGGCTACCTCCACTGGCATCAAACAAACCTCTTTTCCCCCTGCGGTCTAAACTTGGCTAGTACTTTTGACAGACGGCATGCCTTTTTGAATCAGATCGACGACCCCCAGGGCCACGAGCCACTCCAGATATCGGGAGTCCTTGTCAAGGTAAGGAGACGCCGGCTTTATGACCAAGAGATGACCAAGAACCTTCGTGCAAACGGCCTCGCCTCAGGTCCAATGAGTGGGCACCAATGACTTGGAAAGCTTGGTGTCCAGGTTCCCAGCACAAGAGATCCTGACAGCCGCTTGGCTCGATTAGATCCTTCCAGTCCCAGCAAATCATCAATGTGGCTGAGCAGCCAAGACCGGATCAGAGACTGGCCCTGGTGTATACGGACTGCCCTTGGATTGTGTCCAGGTCACCGGGCTGGGGCTGGATCTTCAGCAGACTGCATGGCTTCTGGGTTCCTGGTTCTGCCATGGTGATGCGACCAACAAGAGGGAAAGCCTGGCTTTTTTAAGAAAAAAAAAAGAAGCCTGGGACGAATAGGATAATGGCAACGTACTTCCTGAATCTGATGGCGAGTGACCAGAACTGTGGGGCCAGGAGAGATCTTAGTATGCATGACGTTCAGGGGCACGGGGATCCGGTAGATACTGGCATATCCTCACGGTCTGGCAGGCCCTGTCGACATTTGCTGGCGCTCAAACCACCGGTTTCAGACGATGATTGGCCCAGATCGGAACGGTTTCCACTTGCCAGTATCTAAGGTTGCGTCGTTCGAGGAACAGCGAACGGGACTAAGGAGATTAGTGTGGTTTTGGTTGGAGATCATGATCACACAGCGATAAGCCCTGAATGGTCATGTTTCATAACAGTAGCCAGCGAAATGAGTAGAAAGGACAAAGAAATGCGAGATAGAGACGGACCAAAAAATCAAAGATGGGGAAATTAGGGGGGGCCGAGTAGGAAAAATCAAAAAAAGCAACCAAAAGAGGGAGAGACAAAGTCCCAGCTGTGAGCTGAAAGATGTGATGACCGAACTACTCCATTTCGCACCTCACTATCACATAGTGGTTGGATCAGACCAGCTGCCATTGGCAATAGGACCAGCCACCGAATAGGAGGAACCAGTGGCACCCATGAAATCTCCTTTTGTCATGTCGATAGTCCCAACCGGCGTCAATTCAATCATTATTGTGAAGATGGCCCCATGTTACGGTGCACCACGTGTATCTTATTAATGGCCTAGTATTTGCTGGCATCGCTGCACCCGGTCGTGAATGGGTTAATCCTCATTAGTAGTAGACAGGCGGTTGGGTCCAGCTGCAGGAGACCGCCCGTTTTTTTCCAACGTCCCCTGTGGTGGAACTCATGAATCAGAGGGGAAGCGGGCTGGTGGCCGGACCGCAAAAGGATCTGATATCCATGATCCATCACCGGTAACCTGGAGCAATTTCCCGTGGGGGGTGGGTGAGTCCCCGTTAAGCAAGCCCTTCCCTCCAGCCAGTATGTAACAGTCCTTGTACTCCAGCGAGCTGACGTCCTGCGCAGCCGGAAGCTTTTGGGTCTGGGGCCCACAGCAGCAGCTCAGTTACAGCAACAAACAGTGGCTGCTGGAGCTCCGACTCAGGCCTAGTGCAAGACTATCTCCTGCCTTAATTTTCTCGTCCAACGGGGTGCTCCGGAAGATATGCCGCTCAGTTGAGAAGAACGGGCGGTTACACGGGGGGGAACGCCGGATCAGCCATCCGACTGTGGGAACACCTTTGAAACCGCCGATGGTGATTAACGCAAAGCAAGCTGCTTCAGGGTCTGTATGACCATCACGTTGCGGTCACCAAAGCGGGAGAAAGGACCGTAACAAGTTAGTACCAACCCGGCCGGGGTTGGTCGATAGTCCGGTGCTGTGTATCAGGCAGGCAGTGGCTGCTCGCTAGGTAATATCTGGATAGTTGGTTCATGGCTGATTGATGGGAGATGAGAGAAGTCTCTAAGACCAGATAGTACTAGTAAGTGGTACTTTGAGCCGACCAGCACCCCAAGCAGTCAAGCTCCCAAGGCAGATCGACGAGTCTAAGGCAGAACACCTAAATGGGCTGGGCGGCAGCGGCTCCGCATGAATCGCGGATGATTGATTGCCGTTGGCCCGCCAGAACTAACCTAACAGTCGCGTCCGCCGTCTCTTAGCTTTGCCCGTTGCTGCTCGTTTCTCCTCGGCATCCTGGTCCTTTTGCATTCCCGGTGCACCCTTCACCCATCGCTATCGGGCCTATTAGCTTCTCTTCTCTTCCTCCCACCCTTGGGCCGTTCTTCTCTTTGACCTCTTTTTCCTCTTCCTGTCTAACGCATCGTCGATCCTCGCAGCATCACCCGCAGCTGCCGGGAATTCGCCATGAGCGTCCTGCTGGAAACCTCGCTGGGTGACATCGTCATTGACCTGTTGGTTGACGAGTCGCCCAAAGCCTGCGAAAAGTGAGTAACCCCCTTGTTTTGGCTCCCCCCGTTTTTCTGTGGCGCTTGATGCGCGCGTCCAAGTCGAGTGGCTGAACAGGAACTAAGCTGTCTATGGTCTTCCGTTCTAGCTTTCTAAAGCTATGCAAAGTCAAATACTACAATTTTTCGCCTGTCCACAGCGTCCAAAAGAACTTCACCTTCCAGACCGGCGATCCGATTGGTCCAGACTCCCCAGAAAGCGATGGTGGATCGTCGATATGGGGCTTGCTGCAAGGCCCTTCTCACCGGACATTTCCCCTCCAGCTCCCGCCAAAGTTGAAGCATGACGAGCGCGGCACGGTGAGCATGGCTACCGTTCCTTCCCCCAATGACCCGGATCTGCGCATTGCCGCTAGTCAATTCATCGTCACACTTGGAGACAACCTCGACTACCTGGATGGCAAGGCCGTGATCTTCGGGAAGGTCGTCGAGGGCTTCGATGTCCTGGAAAAAGTCAATGAGGCCTTTATCGATGATCGCGGACGACCTCTCAAGGACATCCGTATCCGTCATACTGCGATTCTCGATGACCCGTTCGAAGACCCTCCGGGCTTGGTGGAGCCCCCCGAGAGCCCGGTGCCGTCCAAGGCGCAGCTGGCTACGGTGAGGATAGCGGACGATGAGGAGTTGGAGGACAACATGGACGAGGAAGCCATGGAGAAGCTCCGACGGGAGCGTGAGGCAAGGGCGCAGGCATTGACGCTGGAGATGGTTGGTGATCTGCCATTCGCAGAGGTGAAGCCGCCAGAGAACGTCCTGTTCGTCTGCAAACTGAACCCGGTCACTCAAGGTATAATCCCCACATTGCTCTTCGATCGCACCAAAATTAACTTGTTTGACTAGATGAGGATCTGAACCTGATCTTTAGTCGCTTCGGGCCCATTCTGTCTTGTGAGGTCATCCGGGATAAGCGAACCGGTGACAGTCTACAGTACGCTTTCATAGAGTTTGAGAACCAAAAGGACTGCGAGCAGGCGTATTTCAAGATGCAGGGGGTCTTGATTGACGACCACCGTATCCACGTGGATTTCTCCCAGAGTGTGAGTCTACTGTCCGGGCGCTCTTCTCCGACATTGCTGAGAATTCAACTAGGTATCCAAATTGTCCGAGAGCTGGCGCAATGCTACCATTTCCAAGCGCAGCAGCCAACGAGGCGGCTTTGGCGGTGTAGCCGGCCTAGAAAAGAAGCGCCAGTATCGGGCATCTGAAAACACCCGGCACCGGGACGATTATCATATGGTTTTCGATAAGAACGAGCCCAAGGGGAGGCCTGATCGTCCGGACCGGTCCGACAGTCGAAGCCCACCGAGGAATTCACAACGGGAGCGTCGAGGCAGTCGAAGTCCCAGACGGGATTCCTATCGCAGTCGGTACCGGAATCGATCCTACAGCCGGAGCCCCCCACGGCGGGATTCCTACGGTGACCGAGACCGTCGGTATAACGAGGGCGAGCGTCGACGGGATCGACGGGATGATGATAGATATCGAGAAAGGCGGCGTCACTGAGGTTTGGGGAGATGGAACATATACCCAACTAAAAGTATGATAAGCGAGGATCCCTTTTGGGGCCCGGCCAGGACTGTCATGGGCCGGAAGCATGACACCCTGTAAATATAAGAAGCATTTGGTTGTACCAGGCTTCCTGACAGGTCCAGGCCCCTCAGGGGGTCAGGTGAACAGGCCGCAGGGAAGAGTCACTGATCGCGACCCTCCATCGGACGGACCTATCCAGGCTGTGTCGATGGCTGATGCACTGCGCCAACCAACAAGCTACCATCATCTTACCTAGTACTCTTCTTCACTGCTGTTCTCAACGTCTCAGGCAACTGCGCAGTCGGTGAGGTGAAACCGGGTCCACGGCTGCCCCGCCACCCACCCACCACAACACGCCTACGACGCCGGTGATTGGCTGCTCCGGACCGGACGAGGGCTGCGATCGAACAATTGATGGGCGTGAAAGAATAGTCGCCCCTCATAAGCCATAATAATGTATCGGCGGCGGTCGCTAGTCCGTCTAAAAATAAGCCATTGAAATTCAGGGATCCCGATGGTCAATCATTTTCATGTTGATGGACAGTGGACTACGTAGCCTGTAGGCAGTCCGGAGTCGTAGTGGTATTTATTTGTTCTTGACGGGCAGCTCCCCCTCCCTCTCTGCAAGCTTCAGCATCACCCCGCGCTTCACACCTGTCCATCTTTCCCCCACCTCCCTCCCTTGCCGTCTTCCTACCTCCCTGTGTCCCCCCCTCCATACCCCTCTCTCTACCTACTCCTTTTACCTTTCGCTCTTTCTACACCCCCCGACCCTCGATCACCAGTCTGTCCAGCATTCTTAACCATGGCTGCTGCTGCGATTAAAGAAACCGTCTCCAACCTCTTCCATGGCCAGTCTGAGCCCGCGCTTCGGGAGCCCTCGGACGAGGAATTTCAGCAACTGAAGCAGAAGTACACCGATGCAGGACAAGGGCAAGTGTTTGCGTTCGTGGACGAGCTGAAGCCCGCCGAGAAGACCCAGCTCTACCACCAGTTGAGCAACTTCGACCCCACCCGCATCAACGAGCTGGCCGACAAGGCTTTGAACCCTCCCAAGGCCCAGGCCGGCCCCGTCACTCTCGAACCCCTCCCCGACGTGGCCACCGCGTCGATCCTTGACTCCGACCCCAAGGACCTCGAAAAGTGGTACGATGAAGGTCTGAAGTTGGTGGCAGGCAACAAGGTGGCTGTGGTGTTGATGGCTGGTGGACAAGGCACCCGGCTGGGAAGCTCTGCCCCCAAGGGATGCTTTGACATCGGCCTCCCCAGTCACAAGTCCCTCTTCCAGATCCAGGCCGAGCGGATTGCTAAGCTCCAGCTCCTGGCGAAGAAGCTTTCGGGCAAGGATGCCGTGATCCCTTGGTATGTCATGACCAGTGGACCTACTCGTCAACCCACGGAGGAGTTCTTCCAGAAGCACAACTACTTCGGCCTCGACAAGAGCAACGTGGTTATCTTTGAGCAGGGTGTCTTGCCCTGCATCTCTAATGAGGGCAAGATTCTGATGGAGAGCAAGTCCAAGGTGCGTGGGTTGGATATATACCTGGTCCAAAGTTACTTTCTAACCCTACAATCTAGGCTGCTGTTGCGCCCGATGGCAACGGTGGTATCTACCTGGCCCTTCTGACATCCGGAGTGAGGGAGGATATGCGGAAGCGTGGAATTGAGCACATCCACACCTACTGTGTCGACAACTGCCTGGTCAAGGTTGCGGACCCCGTCTTCATCGGCTTTGCCGCCTCCAAGGATGTCGATATTGCCACCAAGGTCGTCCGGAAGCGCAATGCCACCGAGTCGGTGGGTCTGATCCTCCAGAAGAACGGCAAGCCCGACGTCGTTGAATACTCCGAGATCGACAAGGAGACGGCCGAGGCCAAGGACCCTAAGCAGCCCGACGTGCTCAAGTTCCGGGCTGCCAACATTGTGAACCACTACTACTCCTTCCGTTTCTTCGAGTCCATCGAGAGCTGGTCCCACAAGCTTCCTCACCACGTTGCCCGCAAGAAGATCCCCTGCATCAAGCCCGAGACCGGCGAGGCATTCAAGCCGGAGAAGCCCAACGGCATCAAGCTCGAGCAGTTCGTCTTTGACGTTTTCCCAATGATCCCTCTGGAGAAGTTTGCCTCTATCGAGGTGCGCCGTGAGGACGAGTTCTCGCCTCTTAAGAACGCCCGGGGCACCGGAGAAGACGATCCCGATACTAGCAAGGCAGACATCATGAAGCAGGGTCAGCGCTGGATTGAGAAGGCCGGTGGTATTGTTGTCACCGAGGCCGAGGCGGTTGGCGTGGAGGTTTCTCCCCTGATCAGCTACGTAAGTGTTTCCGGGTTTGCGCTCATGAAACCAACCACGATAGTAGATGCATGCTTGAAACCAGACTGACGTTTTGCGTTACAGGGCGGCGAAGGACTGGATTTCCTCAAGGGCCGTGAGCTCAAGGCCCCCGCTGTGGTCGAGAAGGAGGAGTAAAGGAAGAGAGATGAAGCCTAGCATATTGCTGAAGTTAGAATAGCCTGTATGAAATCACTAATAATACATATCTACACCACGCGAGAGCCGGGCATTCGAAACCGGGCATGTTGATCAGTCAAGGGTGTACCAATACTCCCTCTAACGACGCGATCGGAACGTACCGTAGATGATACGCTTACGAACCTTGGAAGTGTGACAAGGAAGCTAGAGGCACCCATGATTTGCAAACCGTTGGCCTTGCTTGTCCGCTGGATGCGGGTATGAATTTCACGGTTGGACTTTACGATAACCGTACAGCGTAACCGACCTGACCATATCAGATACTACTCGTATAAGTACTTGCAGCAGACCGACGATGGAGCTCGTCCTTCCCCTTTAAGGACAGGTCTAGACTGGGCCTACTTGTATCGGTCCGGCCCCAGCTCTGAGCGTGTCTCCTCCAGGTCAAAAAGCAAAGCGCACCGGAGTCGAGACTCGAAAGGGCGCGCCACCTAGCTGCATGTCATCGAGAAAGAACAACTGCCAGGTGGGCGATACGGGTAATAACCAGAATGTGCGCCTCAGGCCATGGACACCCGTGGCCAACCGCCAATCAATCCGGGGGTCAACCACCTTACGCGATACGGGAACGGCCGGGACCCAGGGTAATTTTCAATTCGAACCGGTACCTTTCCAGTCTCCGTACGAAAAAAGAAAGCCGGCGACGGTCGTGTCTTTCCGTTTCCTTGCTTAGCTTCATCGCTTAACCTGTTGCAATCGAAATCCTTTCCTACTCAGCTGTCTTTGTGACTTGAAAGAAAACCGTTGAAGAGTATCATTTTTGCTTATTCTTCTCTCGTGGTCCGGAGGGATTGGTGTTGCTGTGCGGTCTAGTGTTCAGTGCTGGGTGTGTGTGCCTTTTTTTTTCCCTGTCATTTTTTCCCCTATCGCTTTCCCCCATTTGATCGCTTTGGCTTTGTCAGCCCACTTTTTTCGAGTCTCAAGAGTGGGCTGTCGGAAGTGCTGCTGTTCCTCCTCCAAGGTTCTCAAGCTGACAATCCAAGCAGTCCGATTGACAAGGAGTTTTGAATATTAGTCGTTGGTTCTAGGAAGTGAGTGCTGTCAAATGTCCCTCGTGACCTTCATCCGCCGGTTCGCGACGACTTCAGTTCGTTCCACCATTCTTCTACCGTTTTTTCTTGGACCGCATACTTCCGCCATGGAAAACAACTCGGTTATGGGCATCGCATGGGACGACTAGTCGCTTGCACTTCATCGGCGACAGCTTCGCGCATGGGAATGGTCGGGCCCGTCTATTTTGCGCCTCTGACGAGTTGTTCCATGACGTCCACTTGCCATGTCGATCCAGAACCCTCTTCAAGCACCAGAAGCGCTGATGGATTGACTTTCTCTCCTTTATAGCGTAATTCTTCCAACAAGATGTTATTGTCTCGTCGTGCCTGCTACAAGTGTGGCAACATTGGCCACTACGCTGGTTAGTTGCTTTGGGAAAGAGTCGCCTTGGCCCAGGCTGGAATTTGCTAACGGGCTGACGTAGAGGTCTGCTCTTCGTCTGAGCGTCTCTGCTACAACTGTGGGTAGGCCCCATCGATTGGCAATTTGCTTCTGGTGCGTCATTTGCTGATGATTATGTGGCTCAACAGGCAAGCAGCCTGGTAGGTTCCATATGTGTGTCACGTAGCTCGAACGAGATCTCTGATCCATCGACAGGCCATGAGTCCAGCAGCTGCCCGCGTCCTCGTACCACAGAGAGTAAGGTTTCCAGAACCTCGTGGCCGTGATGCACAGGAATGCTGATATACCTATTCGATTCAGCTAAGCAATGCTACAACTGCCAGGGTCTAGGCCACGTTCAGGCCGATTGTCCCACGTTGCGCCTTAACGGTGCCAACGGCCGCTGCTACAACTGCAACCAGCCTGGCCACCTTGCCGTACGTATCTCGTCACTCCCAGCTCGTGACTTTGCGACAAGCCGTTGACCTTCTCCTAGCGCAACTGCCCTGCTCCTGCTTCCGGTGCTCCCCGGGCTGCCCCTGCTCCCCGCGGCGGATTCAACAGCGGCTTCCGTGGTGGTTACGGATACCCTCGCGCTGCTACCTGCTACAAGTGCGGTGGTCCCAACCACTTCGCCCGTGATTGCCAGGCTCAGGCCATGAAGTGCTACGCCTGCGGCAAGCTGGTAAGTGTCCTTGCTATATGCTCGTGCAATGCGAGCGGTCGGGCTCATAATTTTGACAGGGCCACATCTCCCGCGACTGCACTGCCCCCAACGGCGGTCCCCTGAGCTCCGCCGGCAAGGTCTGCTACAAGTGCTCCCAGGCCGGTCACATCTCTCGCGACTGCCCCAACAACGAGGCCGCCGTTCAGCAGCCCGTTGATGCCGCTGCTCCGGCTGCGGCCCCGGCTGCCCCTGTCGCCGCCGCTGGCGAGCCCAGCGCGGAGGCTGCTCCTGTTGCGCCTGCGGCTCCTACCACCGCCGTCGCATAGAGGACGAATTTTATGACTGATCGATCCCAGTTCATGGGAGCCTGTTTCCATTCTTTCTTTTTGTAATAGGGTTTGCCGATATCGGTCGCATTTTTCATTATTCCCATGTTTCTTCCTTTGCATATATTGCGCCCCTCCTGTTTCACACTTCTCGGCACCGACCGTTTTCTATTCCTATTATGTATACGACGAACAAAAGTTTCACGAAGTCTTAGGTTCCCTTACTGCTTGGATCCTATACACGGCTCAGGGTCTTATGGTTGGCGTCTATTGATCTCCTCGGGTATCTTTCTCATTTTCCAATATAGGTGCGGCAAGAAAAGAAGGAGACGAGGCCAGGCGAGGTGAAGGGCGAAAGGAGCGCAGGAGAGACATTGGTGAACCGAAGCAAGCGCGTTGATATGCATGGGAAGAGGCTTCAAGTTGGTACGGATGGGATTGTGTGTGATGAAGATTGTGAATGGTCTGAAGGTACCTGGCGCGGTGGTTACCTCCTCATCTTTTCGTACTATATCCTCCATATATTCGTCGAATGGGAAGCAAAAAAATACTAAATAAGAGACAAAAGACAAGATACAAATAGCATAAGCGTCTCCAGTCCAAGGCGGTGTTTTGTATGGTTGAATGAGACGCTCTTCCAGAAGGGTCCGGGTTGGAGAAGGTCTCAGGTTGTAGCATTAGCAACTAGGTCAAGCTATCTGATTGATCCGGTGCGAAAGAGGACTCCTGGAGCTGTCGATCCATATTGTCTATGACTGTGGCGAGGGCTTGAAGCGTAGTCATACTTAGATCCCCGAGTTTGGGCCTGATACTGTTCTTCCTGTTACGGCCAGACCCCGTGACGGTGAGCCAATCTGCCCCGTCGACATTTCAGCTCACTTGGTGCTCTGTTGTGCGAAGGAGTTGGCATTCGATCCCATCGACCGCTTCGTCCCGACTTATAGACCGTTGTATAAGCTCGGTTCAGTGTTCATCATGCCCAGCTCAGACACCAGCGACGAATTCAACGATGATGTATGTAGCTACTTCTTCCCTCCGTTTTACAGAGTTCTGAGTCTTGACCTTGATTAAATCCCTTGGCTGCTTGTATCTAACATTGAGGTGACCTCGGGTCTCGATAGGTCTTCATCGTTGACATCGATACCATCCAAGCCCATGGTATATTCTCGTCTGTTCGCCTTCACTCGGGTCCGAATGCTTATTCACCCTAGGAATCGGGGTGGCGGATATCACAAAGCTGAAGACGAATGGATATTACACAGTTGCCGTATGGTTTACCCTACCTCCATGGGCATCCAATCTTTCTCAGAGTGCTTGGATATTAATGTGTTTAGTCCGTCCACGGTGCTACCCGCAAGAACCTTTTAAAGATCAAAGGGTTCAGTGAGGTCAAGGTTGAGAAAATCAAGGATGCTATCCAGAAGAGCTTGGTATGGGCTGACGGCTGGCATTGCCTATGGAGGAAATGTGCATGCTAACTGTGCAGCCCTCGGCGTCTGGGTTCATTACGGCCATGGAACTGTGCCATCAGCGGAAGAGGATTGTTCGGGTCTCTACTGGAAGCAAACAATTCGATTCGATCCTGGGAGGGTAGGCTTGCATTCCCCTACTGCTGCAGAGAAGCAACTCAGCTGACATTGCGTAGAGGCTTTCAGAGCATGAGCATCAGCGAAGTCTTTGGAGAGTTCCGATGCGGCAAGACTCAGTTATCGCACACCATGTCGGTCATTGCCCAGCTACCCAAAGAAATGGGTGGAGCGGATGGCAAGGTCGCTTACATCGACACCGAAGGGACTTTCAGACCTGAGCGTATCGCCCAGATCGCAGAGCGCTTTGGCGTCGATGCTGATGCTGCTCAGGAGAACATCGCCTATGCTCGGGCGCTCAACAGCGAGCATCAGTTGGAGTTGCTGAATACTCTCAGTAGAGAATTTGCTGGGGGAGAGTACAGATTGCTGATCATTGATAGCATTATGAATTGCTTTAGGGTTGACTACTGCGGACGTGGGGAGCTCGCAGACCGTCAGCAGAAGTTGAATCAGTTTTTGATGAAGCTTGCTCACATGGCTGAAGGTATGTGGTTAACTTGCTCCGGGTATATACTTTAGGGCTTATGTTGCTATTCACAGAGTTCAACATCTGTGTTTTGATGGTTTGTTCTCCTCCATCGTGGATATGAACTACTCTTACAAGACTACAGACAAATCAGGTCCAGAGTGAACCCGGTGCTAGTGCACTCTTCGCTGGGGCCGATGGCCGCAAGCCTGTGGGTGGTCATGTCCTGGCGCATGCATCTGCGACTCGGGTGCTCCTCCGTAAGGGCCGGGGGGAAGAGCGGGTGGCTAAGATCCAGGATTCACCCGGTCTGTCACCTTGATTGACGCCTGCGCTACTATTCTAACAGTCTATAGACTGCCCTGAAAGAGAGGCGACATATGTCATCACCAACGGTGGCATCAATGACCCAGATAAGGCGTGACTCCGATAAGAGAGTACGATGCACGGAGTAATTGAAGACGCATTAGGGACGAATCAGAAAGCAGCATATGGGGGATTGAAAGTCCAGTGATATCAGATTTCAGCTAAGGCAATCTATTTGCGACTGTAAAGCACTATGATGTCTGCGAGCAGTTGTTCCTGAAGCTATGTAAAGCACAGACGGAGTAGGTTGATAAGTATTCCAAATGGGAAGAGTTGCTCTCCGCCTTCTAAATTGCCGCTGCAAAATTTCCCGCTCAAGTAAAAGTCTCTCCGCGACCAACTCGTTTGCAGCGATACAATTTCCGCAAGTACCTCCAAACACCCTCTGTTTCCTTCTCTCAGCTCAATACAGTTATTCCTGAGAAGTCGCCCAAAATGAAGAAAGATCTCGAGATCGCGGGATTCTCAATCCTGCCCATACGGTTCCCCTCCACCCCGGCATTCGCAAAACCTGCAACCCATTATCTCTATCTCCGAGCCCACGAGCCTCGCATCCCAGACGCCGACACCCCGCGCTCCATGTTCATCGTCAACGTCCCCGCGGACACGACCGAAACCCATCTGCGCCACCTCTTCGGCACGCAACTATCCGCCGGCCGCGTGGAACGGGTCGAATTCGAAGCCGTCGAAAGCAAGCAAAAGAGCGCCGCCCCGCAAGCCAACATCATGAGCAAGAAACGCAAGCGTGTCACGGCCGACGAACTCCAAGCCCAATTGGACGGTGTCGAGCTCCCCTCCACGTGGGACCGACAGCTCCAGAAGAGCGGCGCTCGCGCCATCGTCGTCTTTGCGGACAAGCCCAGCATGGAAGCGAGCCTCAAAGCGGCGCGCAAGGCCGCCAAGAAGGATACTAAAATTGTCTGGGGCGAGGGGGTGGAGGATCGTCTACCTTCTCTTGGACTGCAGCGGTATCTCAACCATGAGCAACTGCGGTATCCGGATCGGGCGGAGTTGCTGCGCACGGTCAATGATTATATGACGATGTTTTCGCAGGTCGCGGAGGCGAGGAAGCGGGAGGAGGCGCGCAAGGCACAGGAGCCGGACGAGGATGGCTTCATTACTGTTACGTCTGGGCCGAAGTTGGCTGCAGCAGCTCATGAGGATGAGGCTAGGGAGTTGATCGAGAAGCAGAAGCAGAAGTCGCAGGGCTTGGAGGACTTCTACCGGTTCCAGTCTCGTGAGAAGCGGAAGGAGAAGCAGAACCAGCTGCTTAAGAAGTTTGATGATGATAAGAGGAAGTTGGCGGATATGAAGAAGCGGAAGGGGAAGATTGCGGTAGGTTTCCTTCCTATGACGGTAATATGTTTAGGTGCTAATGGTGTCTAGCCCGAGTGATGCGTTCGTTCCTACGGTTTGGCATTGGGTCGTTTAGCATGGCGTTTGGGAGGGTCGTCCAAAAGTGCTTGATTCGATAGAGGATTGGCTGGGGGCTACTGGATGATGTGAGTGTCGAAGCTTTCTTTCTTTTCTTCCTCGTCGTTTTCTACACCTCTGCATCTGATGAGTCCGCTGGGGCCAGAGTAGCAAGACTCAGCCTTTGCTTGATGTCATACTGTGTCTACAAAAACCAGCTTAATCCAATCTTCTCACCTCTCTGAAGCATTCTATCTTGCACCCTATTTGCTTGGTGGTATTCGGGTTGCGATGCTGACTTGATGACCTAGGTACATCTTCGCTTCTTGTAGACTATAGATATCTAACATGAATTATTATGCCGGTCCATCATCAGGATTAACAGTAGCTGTCTGCCTCGCCAACGTCCCAGTGATCCTACACGCCTAAAAGAATCATATCATCCCCTAAACCCCTGAATAGCAAAGAGTCCCGTTCAATATTCCCCTCCCCGACGACTCTACTGCATTGAATGTATATATCAAGAACGCACAGACCACCTGTCTTGGCAATGACATCGTCGGCGCATCGCATCGCATCGCAGCTCGTCACCAGCTCGCAATCGAATCCGAAACCAATCAACCCCAGGGAAACCAACATCCTCAGTATGTAGCCCTAACTTCATCACGTTCAAGCAATCTACCTCTTACCCACCGCCCTCCAACACACAGTATCACACCAACCCCACCACCAAACCAGTGTATCCTAAACCCCACCATCGCAAGCCCCTCCCAGCTCCCACAGCTATCCACCAAAACCACAATGACCTCAACCACCAGCAACATCAGAGACAGCAGCGACAGCGGCGGCGGCTTTCTCACCTCCCCCGCGCCCTCCACCACCACCACCACCGCCCCCAGCAACAGCAACAGCAGCAACGCACCCTCCCTCCTCCCCCAGCCCCGCTCCCATCCTCTCCGCCCAGGCTCTGCCAAAGAAGCAACAGTGATCAACTACGTGGATAGTACTCTCCTACGTATCGCGCGTCGGCACGCGAAGAAATTCAGCAAAGCGTTTGCGGATCCGAATCTCCCGGACTCGGAACGCGGGTATGAGAGCTTTGAGGAATTAGGGAGGGATTTGGAGGCTGTCGTGGATGTGTTGTGGGTTAGTGGGACGCGTATGTTTCTCTTTTCTCTTCTTTCTTCTTTTTTTCTTTTCTTCTTATGGGTTGGGAGTTTTGTGTGAGAGTAGGTGGGTGGGTGTGTGGGTGTGTTATGTGGAAGTTTGACGGGGAAGGACTGGGCTTGACTGAACTAGGCTAACGAGCAAGGATCAAACAGCATCACTTCAAATCCCCTACTTGATTTCCTTGGCCGTACAGGTTAATTCCTATCTCGCCGAGTATCCGTTCTCCGCGGCCGCTACGTTTCGGGTATTGGGGAAGTTGGATGAGGTTTTTGCGGCGCTTTTGGGGGAGGGGGAGGGGGAGGGAGATGATGGGAGGGGAAGTGTGGTTTCGATGACGGAGAAGGTGAGGATTAAGAGTATTGCGGAGTCGGGGAGGGTGGTGGTGGTTGAGGCGAGGGAGAGGGAGAGGGAGAATGGTGGAGATGAGGAGGAGGATGAGGATGAGGATGAGATGGAGGATGTGCTGGGTATCGAGGAGTATCCTGCGGCTGGGAAATGGGAGATGCAGACGGCTAGGGTCTACGAGAGGACTATGCAGTTGTTGGGGGATGAGTTGGCGAAGGTTGGGGAGTTTTGTGATGATGATATGGCGGCGGGAGAGAATGAGGAGACTATGTGTGATGGTGAGAATTTGGAAGTAGAAGTGGAATTGGAGGGTGAGGATGAGGATGAGACTTGATAAGGGTATGTTGCACGGCATCGCTTTCTTTTGGTGTTTAGGGCGTTTGGGGGGGTGAATCATGGTATCTACTGTATCGATATTGGGTGGGATGTCTGGTGTTGTACTGGTGCTCGGCAATCACTCTTCTCTGCTCCCGCAAATGCCGTCCGGTATCTTGTCCATGCAGTCTAGACTCACCTGGTGAGACCATCCGGATTTCCGGTCCCAACAATGGCCACATTAATCAGCTAGCAGGGATTGCAAGCGTGCTGCCGCGTTCCCAATAAGTGAGTGGGCTGACGCGAACCAGAGAAGCCATGGTGACTGGTGACGCCTCGGAGGGTCCGGATCAGTCACGAGTGGAGAGATGGTCTTGGTGAGAGTCTGTGACAATTCCTTGCAACAGTGGGTACTTCATGGTGCTTCAACCCATTGATATAGACAGACGACGATAAGCGTGGAATGCATGAGATATCCCAGTTCATCATGGTTTCATCAGCCATGGATTAATTACCAAACACCCCTGGATCTTGGAGACAGTGGGTGGTATGAGTTCTCCTTCCCAGACTCATGTCTGGTATCGAGAAGCAGATCCATGGTTCCGCATCGACCATCAACTCAACCTATCTACCTAGACAGTGCTAGGATATCATTCCTTGGGCTTCGCTTTGCATGCAGTCCAGAGAGAAGGTACTTATAGCGAAAGTACGGAGTACTTCTGGCAGGAATGCCCAATACCGTCTATGTAATAAGCCTGCGAACTGGTGGTAGAAAACCGTTCATATGCATGCATCCATAACGGCTAAGGTGTAAGGAGCGAGCGAGCGAGCGAGCGAGAGAGGATGGAAATCTGCAAGGGACGGTCTGCTTACGGCGGCATGGTAAGTGTAACCCAGTATCCGCACAGTGCACATACTATGTATGTATGTATGTATGTATGTATGTGGTGGTTGAGTCTCTTGCATCGCAAAAATGTGCTGAATGAAATGAAGGGGACCCTCTCGCTTTGATATACTCCGTACGGAGTACTAAATCAACAGTATACTGTGGTCGGAAGTAAGGGTGGTCAAAGCTAGCAAGGCACTAGGCAGCCTTATTCCTGGTAGATAGTCGATCGATTCAATCTGAGATAGTATTTCCCGGGAAATTAAATTTGCTCATTGTTCACGATGGCCCTGGATTCAAAGGAAGTATGAAGTAGGAATCATCGGATCTCCCTTGCTCATGCCAGAGCTTTGCCCAGTTCTCATCACCCATGGGGTGGGTGGCCAACGTCGTCCTTGGCCGATCGTTCTCTCCAGATTTCTCGACGCAAATTGGCCAGATACAAAGAGTGATGACGCTCGTATTCTGGCCAGCTCGCCTGCTGACTGGTTCCCCGAGTAGGTAAAGTTATTAATCACCACTCGGATCCTGCAAGGCGATCGCGTCGCGTGTGCGCGTCCGGGGGTACTTCCGTACTCCGTACAGAGAGAATAGATGCTTTAGACAGAGGATGCAATTGAAACAGACTAGCAGCTAGTAGCAACTACCAGCAATTAGCAAGACCAAGGACAGCGAACCAACCCCCTTCAAAGTTCACGAGGCTGATGAATTCTGTCTCAGACACTCGTGGGAATTCCAGAACCCGCCGTGCATCAGATTGGATCCTTACTGGCGCCCGTAGCAAGGATCCCAAAGCTGGGTACTTTAGTAGCATTAGTACATAGTACTTAGTACATACTAGTCCTCCGTACAGGGTAGCAGTAAGTACCTTACCATCGTGGTAATACCAATGACAGCCCGCCAGCCAAAATTACGAGTCGCCCGGTGCCCGGATCCCGACCAATGGGCACCACATGGACCTCAATTCCATGGTTCGAGCTGCCCCCAGTGGAGTCGCCTCACATGGACGGTGCCCGGGGACCTTCTTGCTCTTGACTTTCATTCCTCAACTGAGGAGGGTCTACACTTGCCCTCCGGAGGCTCCATTTTCTTTTAATAATCGCAGCGAATCCACACATACACACACACAACCTTGGAGCAGAATTCTTAGACTGTGAATCACTGAATCGAAGGGAATCGATGGCGATTGCTTACCCTCCAATGGCAGGCACGGTGGTTGAATCATGGTGTTTGGAATGCCGCTTATTATCCTTAGTATGGTTGCTTGGACCATCCCGGACGGCCACTATCTATTATTAACGTGAACCACAGCCAGTGGCACGGTGAAGTAATCCCTCATGGGTTGCTCCAATTAATATACTACTCACCCGACCACAATGGATTTCTTCAGTGTATAGCACCATCCACTCCCACATGGACGTTCTGTTTCTCGAATGTCCTGAAAACCCGATTAGGCCTCCGTCATACACAGAGCAGGCTAGCTGCTCCACGATCCATGGGTCTGGGGCGCATTGGTGGGGGCCATTTTCCTTTCATTGAACTTTTCCACAGTCCAGGCGCTGCCATATTTTTATTTTTTTTTTTTTTTTAATTTTTTTTTTTTGCCGGTTGTCTTTTGGGCTGGCATCTCGGGCGATTCGCTGTTAAAAGAGAGAAAAGACCGCTATTTCAGCTCTGCCATTCAGCCGCTCGGTCGGCCAGTAGGGCAGGGACGATCCATCTGAACAATGAGGGCTGAAGTGGCTGCAAACGGCAACCGATCTACGAATGACCGGGACACGCCTATGACGATAAGGGCCCATGGGCCATGGGACGAGAATGGAACCCGACGAGTCACCGCGCGAGGACGGGAAGGGAAAAGACCTCAACGACTCTGGCCGTCCTGCTCTCTGCAGGTGCATCGCTCAGGTCCTTGCAGATTCCGTGCAGCCATTCGGCCATATTTATGAATCCTGAGCTCCTCCCTATGTAGGTACAGGTCAATTCGGGTTATGATTGTCCTGTCATCATCCTCCATCCCAATCTGCCCGCCCCTTGTTCACTTGACATGGCCGATTGGCCAGGTATTAATGTTACGGCCACCACCCTCCCCTCCTATGAATGGGAACTCCATTACCTGGTCCCCCTTACCTGATGACGATGTGCTTGCGGATAAAGACCCTCGTTTTCCCGCCCTCCTGGGAGGTCGATGGATATAGTACTGTGCACATGCTGCTGCTGGTCTTCTCCCTCCCTACATAACTGGAGAGCTCAATCGGATCGTGATATACTCTGTACTCTGGCTTGGAAAAACCAAAGGCATGCGTACCTAGGTACAGTAGGCCCCGGGCGGCTTTTAAGCTTCACGAATTTCCAAGTTCTCGGAACCTTCAATCCAGCAGCCGAGCAGTTCGACACGATGCACACAGCAAAGGGGAAGTAAGAAAAAGAAGCGGCAGACTTTATTATCTGGGCCCATCCAGCTACCAAAGGATAGTACAAAGAATATTGCATGCGATGGAAATAAGGATCATGTCAGGCTGCAAACCCGCAGGATGCAGCAGTCATCTGGTCCCAGGGTGTTTGGTTGGGTTGGGGTGGTGGATGTGTCCACTGCATGTACTACGTACTATGTATATACCTGCGATACCTGTATTGGGTCGTTCGCAGCAGCACGGTAGGCAGGTATCCGTTGAGGTATATCGACCCGTGCCTGTACTAGTAGCTGGAGGGATGTAGTCTGGAGCAGGAGGAAATTCCAGCAGAGGTAAGATAAGACTAACCTCTGTTACCCTGTATTCCATATCTGGATCGCGATCTAAAACATACACCCAGTAAGGTTGTACACCCGACAGACAATCCAAGCCAGCCTTTATGTTGAATACAAGACAATACCGATACTGAGTCCAGGCTGTACTATCCCGGTAAGACCACCCGATCTCACCAGAGAACCGGGCCTTGTAGATCTGGATTTCGCTCTGCTGCTGAGCCAGTCAGATGGTTGGTTAGACTACGAGAGGGAGAGTGGGTGGAAAACGAAAAAGAAAATCACACGGGGAAGGTGAAAAAAAAAAAAAGCAAGAACAGAATAAACATGCATTCAGTAAATGAAAGAAATAATAATTTAAAAAAAAGGCCTGAAAAAAAGAGCCTTTTCCTAGTCGGCAAACTTTCGTCCCACCCAGCTGGCAGCGCGCTGCGCCCGCCCCTCATCTCCTCCGTCACAGTCGCAGCAGCAAGCAGCAGGACCTGCTGCTGGTGCTGGTACTGGTGCTCCTGCTGGCTGGCTTGCTTGCTGCTTGTGTGCTGATTATTCATTATTATTATTATTAACTATTTCGTTTGTTCGTCTAACGATTCTGCTTCTCCCGTCCCTGGTCTGCCCTAGCAGTACCTAGTACGTCGTAGCCATTCTTCCTCGTTTCCTTTCCCTTCCCTTCCCTTTCTCCCCTCCATCCTGAAGAATACTCTTTCTTCTACCCCTCCTCGCTTTCCTCTCTTCTGTCGTCCTGTTATATCCCCCTCTCCTTCAGTCCTTCCACCGTTCCCTTGTTCTTGTCGGAAAAGACGGAGTTAGTTTGCGGATAGTTCTGTAACTCTTCTTTGTGCCTTTTCCTCTCTTTTTCTGCTGTTCTTATTCTTCTCCACCTCGCCGGAGTTATCTCGATTCTCCAGTTCCTGATTTCTCTGACGTCCTGGTCTAACGCATACTTCATTTTGCGCTACCCCAACGAACACATCGCTTCTCATCCCCCCCCCCCAGCAGATTCCTAGGTAGCGTTTTGACATTGCCTGGTAAGTTGTCACTTTCTTTTCTTTTTCTGTTCGATCGCCTCGACTCGTACGATACTTTCTTTTTGTTTTTCCCTTTTTTGCCTTTTCCGGCCGTGTGTGGTTGCGCGGGAGTTGCCGGCCACTGTCTCGGTTCATCATCCCTTCCTGTGCGATCAGACTTATGGGATTCAACCGTTCGAGGCGCCGTTGGTTAAATTGTCGGCCCTGGGAAACGATATCTCCTGGTCGCTCTGCATCCGGGTGGTCGAAATGGCTTTCCATCCTCGCCCGGCACGGTCTGTCACCGACCATCATGCGCCATACGATTACGCTTCCTCGCCTTGATCCATTGCACGATGAGGTTCGAACGGTCGCTCGACCGATAGTTCTTCCATGGCTACTCCTGCGCCTCGGTCCTACTTGTTGAATCCTCGACCCGGCTGTTACATGGCTTGTGTGTTGCAGGTCCGTTGAAGACTTGGGTGGATCGATCGGCTCGGTCGCAACCGGAGCGGGCGGACGACTCTGGTAGCATCTTCGACGAACGCGGCCATGATGTGGTGACAAGGCCTATCTCTGGCCATTCACGCATTGTCAGCTCAATTTCAATTCTCTTCCCGGTTTTGAATCGAATTCACTTGATGGAATATGCACCTTTCCGGCTATCCCATTGCGACCACCCGAGGAACCTTCAGTCTTGGCACCTGACGGGGCGGGACCTGCAGTCGAGGCTGAACCCATCTTCACGTCCTGTCCCAACTTTCACCGATACGTCCATTCAACCACTTCTCCCAGCACTGCCTTCTGAGAGGACCTCTCGCCTAGTATTCAATCGTCTGTTTTCACACCCATTTCACGCCAATGCCTTCTGTCTGAGGTGCTGCGTACTTGTCGACCGGGCGCCTTTTTTTTCCCCTTGATCCTGCCTTTTTCTGTGCTTCTTTGCCGCTCCGCTTGATTTGGCCTTGATTTTCTTCATCCCCGGGCGGTCGTCCCTCAAACCTGCTATCTCGTACTAATTTCGTCTCCCAGGAAGTGATAGCATTTCTGAATCATTTCCGAGTCTGAACGATCGTACGCTCTTCTTTCCTTGACGACGCCAACGAAACCCCATTCGCACGGGCCTCTTTCGGTATAGAAAAGTTTGTTTGCTTGGGTTTCTGCTCTTTTACCTGCACTAAGGTATGCGCAATTCCGAATGGTCCAGAATCTTTCAGAGATGATGGGCAGCACTCCGCAGTCCATCCTAGGAATCTTTATTTGCTAACTCTTGCACCTCGCAAACCAGATACCGTTATCGCAGTTATTATTACGAAAGTCCAATTATTTACGTCAATATGTCTTTCCAAAACTTTGAATCGTTCCAGAACCAGCACCCTGCTGCTGACGCCGCCGCCGCTGCCCCTGGTGCTCCTGCTACTGCGGACACCACTATGACCGGACAGGCTGACCCTACCACCGCCCCCTTCCAGGGTCCTGCTCCCGGCGAGCCCACGGCTGCTGCTGTCCCCCAGCAGGCCAACGAGGGAAAGACCACCCTCTGGTACGCTAGACCATCCTAATGTCTCCGCCCGAGCAGTCTCTGACTATTGACTCTAGGATGGGTGAACTTGAGCCTTGGATTGATGAGAACTTCGTTCGTAACCTCTGGTTCCAAATGGGTGAGCAGGTCAACGTTAAGATGATCCGCGACAAGTTCTCTGGGTGAGTACACAATAATGCAGACTTCAGTCGGAAGGCGATCCTAATGTTGGTAGTAGGAGCAACGCCGGCTACTGCTTCGTCGACTTCGCGTCCCCTGCTGCTGCCGCCAAGGCTCTTTCTCTGAACGGCACCCCTATGCCCAACACCAACCGCCTGTTCAAGCTCAACTGGGCTACTGGTGGTGGTCTTGCTGACCGCAGGTAAGGCACAACATCCCCACACTCATCTCGAGGCATTAGCTGACGCTTTCCCGGTAGCCGCGATGACCGTGGCCCCGAGTACTCCATCTTTGTCGGCGACCTTGGTCCTGAGGTCAACGAATACGTCCTCGTGTCCCTCTTCCAGAGCCGCTTCCCCTCCTGCAAGTCCGCCAAGATCATGACCGACCCCATCAGCGGCATGTCCCGTGGTTACGGTTTCGTCCGTTTCTCCGATGAGAACGACCAGCAGCGGGCTTTGAGCGAGATGCAGGGCGTCTACTGTGGCAACCGGCCCATGCGCATCTCCACCGCGACCCCCAAGAACAAGGGCCCCGGTGTTGTCCCCGGTGCCATGGGCATGCCCGGCCCCGCGGGCATGTACCCTCCCATGGGCGCTCCTCCCATGGGCTTCTACGGTGCCCCTCAGCCCATGAACCAGTTCACCGATCCCAACAACACTACCGTCTTTGTTGGTGGTCTTTCTGGCTACGTCACCGAGGATGAACTCCGCTCTTTCTTCCAAGGATTCGGCGAAATCACCTACGTCAAGATCCCCCCTGGAAAGGGTTGCGGCTTCGTTCAGTTCGTCCAGCGCCATGCGGCTGAAATGGCCATCAACCAGATGCAGGGATACCCCATCGGTAACTCGCGTGTGCGTCTGAGCTGGGGTCGCTCTCAGAACAACTCTGGCCCTGCTGGCAGCCCTTACCGTCCTGCTCCTCCCCCGCCTCCCATGTACCCCTCGATGGGCATGCCCCCGGCTCACCAGTACGGCGGCTTTGCTCCTATGAAGGTTGGTTCCCCTGTTAGTCTCCGTCCCGGCCGTCGTGAATCCCACTAACGCCCCTGGTTTAGTAAAAGAACTTTCCGTTTTAGTTTGAAAGAACCAGCAGGAGTTTTGTCATTTCACGATGGGTCTTTTGTGTTATAAGTCTGCTATTATCTCCGCGAAAGTTACCCTCTATAGCTCTGGATGGGCATTTCCTCCTCTGCGACGTACTTCATATGCGAGCGCTTCCATTTTTAGCCAGATTTGAGCTCTGATTTCATCCCTATTCCACCACGTTTATCTTTCTTCTGTTACCTCCCCCCCCCCTTCCCTCTAACCCTCAATCCATATGTTGCACGTTTCTCCAGTTACCCCATGTTCCCCTTTACATTCTCCTCACGTCCTGTGGCCCTAGGTCTATGTTATTATGCGTATGACGGCAATCGGAATTGTTGAATTGCGCGTCGGTTTCCCTCTTATTCCCTGGGCAGGCTTTCTGCGAAAAGTTCATCTTCTGAAGTCCTTTCTCATGAAGCAATCCAATCGAATCATGTTTCGTTCTGAGGATGTTACGTCATGCTTTTTGCTAGACCGGCGGCCTGTACAACACGTTTTCCTCGCCTTCTTATTTCTCAATTCAGTCTATTATGGAGCACAGTGCTTTCCCGCTCGTTCGATCCTTTCCCTTGCTGGTCCCCCGTCTTGAGTCTGGCGTATTCCGCGGCTGTCCTAGTGACTTTGATTCTTCGCCTCTCCTGTCGCTGCTGAATCCTGCGAGGCGTCATCATCCCGGCTCGGACCAGTTCTTGGTGCGTCTGTCTCTTCGTTTAATCTGTAGTTACTGGCAGGGGGTTGGCCCCCTTCCACTCTACATGTCTTATCGGCACTGATGGCGGCATCCTGTTGTGACAAGGTTGGGGCGTTCGTAAGTTGGGTTGTTTCCTTTGTCTGGCCGCGGTGGGCTTCTCCGGCATCATATATTGGCATGTCATTTTCACGTTGTCTCTTACGGATGATTCCCCCTTCGCTCTGCAGTGAGCTCCGTGTTCCTTTCCGGCCCTTGCCTGTTACCTCGGGGCCTCCTTGTCTTCTGTTCACCGTGATCGAGAGCGCGAACTTTCGAGCTGCTCGCTTCTATCTGCTCGCCGTTCATGTACATGGGACTTGGTAGATGCCTAGCAATCTGAATTGGGCGCATGTCGCCAGGTCTGCGTGTTCGACTTCTTTCCTCCTTCAAACTCCTTAGTAGTCTCTCCGTTGCGATAGGGGTCACGCCTTCCGTCCTCCCGGCATCTCGCGGGAACCTCATCCTAAGATCTTATTCCATATGAGGGACACTCTCGAGACTTCCCCCATGGGGCAGGTGCTCCCTTCCGCGGCAGCGACGGTTGGGTATCGCCCGTCCTCTCAGTCAGGCTTGAGCCTGTCCCCTCCTCGACTCCTGTTGTATCCTTCTCATCCTTGAGGCGATACCTCTTCTAGGATCTTCCCTCCCACGCCGATCAGTTCTCTTTACTCTTAGTATCTTACCATCTCCCGGGGTCCACTTTCTTCCTTTCCTCATTTTATCTCGCAGACGATAGTACTTGGGGAAGCCAGGATGCGGTACGAAGACTGGGACGTGATTCTCTTCCCTGAATCATCCAAGGTGCCCATACAGGAATTTAAGACGCAATGTTTTGTCACCAAGGACAAAGGTCGGTGCGGCAGTCCAAAGCAGAGAGCGTATGTGCTGACTGAAGATACCAGAGTCGCCGTATCTACATAGTCCCGGTCTTGTCAGCCCGGCATCTTGTTCCCTACCACAGAGTAATGTGGGCCAATTGCCAGTTCTCACTACGTTCGTCCCGAGCTTGCGTCAAAATACCCCCTTTCGCGTGTCGGTTCATAGTTGGCAAAAACCGACGCCGAGCCGGTTGATGGAAAGTCTCCTGCAGCCAGACGACGCGGTGCTTTTTGAGGTGCGGATCTTTATCGACGGGCTATGTGTATCGTAGGTGATTACTCAGTTATTCAATCCAAGGCTACAGGCTGAGGCTGTGTGTCATAGTGGCAGCGTCTTCCACCAGAGATCAGGCTGGCCTCATGTTATCGGTGAGTGTTTGGTCCTCCTTGGCTTCAGGCATATTGCTAATCACACATCTCTTTCTAGATCTGAGTTCTTGTATGTTGCTCATGGGTCCTCACCCCAATTCTTCCACGAATCATATCCTAACAGCAAGACTCCCAGACGTCGACAAAAGTGGCAATCAGGATAACCTCCGTTTCCCGCCCTTCCATCAGGAGATCCTGGAGCAGAGACACTGGGATGCAGCCGAGCTGTACGGTCGAATCAGAGTCGTGATCGCTGAGGGCTTCTGTCGACCGCATCGCTACCCGCCGTTTGAGAGAGTCAAGGAGATCATCGCATTTGCCTTCCAGCATGCCCCTCTGCGTAAGTGGATACTTGGGCAATATTGCATGAAATCATACTCACCGGGGTGCTTTTAGAGGTTCTGGAGCATTCAAATATTGCCTGGCCGAATCCTACCATGTGGACACGGGAGCCACGGCTCTTCAAATACAACTCAGGCATCGGTCCCAGCCTCGCCCCGGAGGATTCCCACGCCCATTCGCCTACTAAACAGGGTGCTCAGGGGCGGATGATAGCTTCCAGGAGCCAAATTAGCAGCCAGTCAGGCAATTCATGGGCCTATCGAAATCTGCAGCGGCCGATGCCTATGCCTATGCCTCTTCCCCAGTGGCAAAGCCAATGCATGCCAGATCCTTTTACCGATCCGATTGCACGTCATCGGGGTGCGAGATCATCCTGCGAGGATGTCCCTATGCCCGATTATGTCTCAAGCTCCGGCAGTAGTCGCGCTATCTCCAGCATGACGGGTATTAGCTATGAACACAGCAAACATCCTAGCATCGTAACCCCCGTGGACGACGAGTCATACCGACAACTGATTGAAGCTCTGAGCCCGCCAAAGCCGCTGACCCTATTTGGTATATCCGCACCGACTAACACTCCTTCTGCCGCTTTACCTATGGGTACCAAGCTTTCTGCAGCAGCCGAAGCGCGTTCTGCACCCTACACCAAAGGCAGCAGCCGAACATCAATTCTGAAGGAGGTTTCACTACCTGGAACTAGAGAGGTATCCGGATCCAGCGCTAAATCCACCGTTCCTTCCGAAACAACCGCTGAGGGAACGACCACTAGCAAGATTCATGCTAGCCCTAGTCCACATGTCAAGAGCAGAAAGGAGGGTATGTCCCAAGCGAATAAGGACAATGAAACTTTGGGGGTTTCACCGCTTAAAGAGAGCGAGAAGATCCCTCAGACGCCCTCCAGGCCAGCCGTGCGTACGAGCGCGAATACGGAAACCCCAACTAGGTCCGACCGAAAGTTATCTACAAGCTCTGTTCTTGGGGAGAGCTCCCCCATTTCCTAGGGTGAAATAGTGTGGCCTTTATCACCCCAGGTTTTGTCCGTGGCGGGACTACAGGTCCAACAAGCTGGAATTGATGGCTTACTCCCCTGGTGCTAGATCTCAGCTTGCAGGCTCGGTGTTGAAAGTCACTGGGATCGATTGAAGCATTCTTACGTTATTCAGATAGGCGTCTCCTGTTCCCTGATGCTTTCTTCCTTGCGCCCCCTGCCTCAGATTCTCCTGCCCGTGTTCCTTTTGTTGCTATATTAATCTCGACCGTGAGAGTTTGTACGGGGATACACCGAGGCGGAGGCTCCGATCATGAAGCGGCTAAGCTGTTGACTCTCGTTACTCTTATCTATCATTCCTATTGAATACTGTAGTCTCTGGGCGGAGATGTATGGACATGTTGATGAACCATGTTTGTCAGGCCAGGCCATTGTGTCATAGCATTCGATGGGGTGGGGAGTGTCGTTACTATGGCTATCAGAATCCACAGACCCGTTCACGCCCGCTCAGTCACTTGCCCACTTCTTGATGCACGGAAGTGAATGTAAACCAATACACCCACCGGGCCTGGCAGGCGGCAGGCAGGCTCATGGCTTTCCCCGTCCCTTCCTTGTTCTGAACTCTCAACTTCTTCCCTTCCTCTCTTCCTTTCCCCCCCCCACTCCTGACAACTCCAACCTCCTTTCATCTACACCCCTCATCTTGACTTTGATCCAGAAACTGCAACATGGATGGAACAAACAATCAGAGATCGGTGTTTGGCTGGAGTACTTCCTTCCTAGCGCCGCAGCTCTGGCAGTCCTGCTCAGTGAGTGTGCCTAGCAGCCACGCGATAGCAGACTGACCAAATTTGGGCTTACCGTCTGATTCCGTGGCATAGGCACCCCCCACTGTCCCTAACAACAATCCGAGCATCAAAGTGGAAGACACACCACACGGATTTACGCGCTGGGCTTATAATCCATTCCCCTACCGGGGCCTGAGTCACGATGCTCCCTACGCCAGCTACGTTGCCTCGGGAAGCGGGCTAGGGCAGCCTGCTGCTGAGTATCCGGCGCCGAACTTTGATCGCCCTTCCTTACCCCCGCAGCCAAACTCACCAGCAGTTGAACCGCGAGATTGGAGCAGTTCCAAGGTCTTGCTTGCCCCTTCCCCCTCGAAAAGCGTTGTTCCGGAGAGTTCCAGGGCGCCTACACTCCCCAAAACAAACTTTATATCTCTAAAGGTAATGCAGCCACTATGTGGATTGACACTTCATGTTCCTGGCCTTGCTTACGCTCGCGATATAGTCCCAAAAATGTCCTCGGCGCCTTGCCTCTACCAAACTGTGCAAGTTGAGCCAAGATGAGGTTCTTTTCTTCTACGGGGCCTTAGCCACTCAAGCGCTACTCCTTCCAAGATTTCAATTTTACAACACTAAGGACTCTCGGTGGGGGGTAAAGCTTACCATGTATGGTTTTACAATCACCAAGTCAAACATCTATCCCTCCCAAAGGGCAGCCAAGGCCGATGTTTGCCTGGCTGCGCTGAAAAAGCTGCAAGCCGAATACCCCGAGTGGATATTACCAGATGAAGAGCAGGACGGCCCTGTCACTTCTGGTTGGGACTGGATTGAACTTTTGCGAGGTAAGAGGATGCCTTTTCTTACATCTACCAATGTCAATGAAGTTATGGCAGAATACTGTGTGCAAAATGGAATCCCTGGCCCGGCATATACAAAGTTCTTGCCCGAAAGAGGAGATGCGTATTGCCATGGAGTAAAGGTCCGCCATGCCACCTACACTGGGCCGATGGATCATTACGCAAGCGATCACGTTTCCCAAAATACAAGTGCCTATAAGGCTCTCCAAACGCTCTTGGTTCACGGATCTGGCGAAGCGTGCAATTTCCCCGGCCCCTTCACACTGAAAAGGCATGACGAGAAACTTCTCGCCGATGTTCCGAGATTTCCTGGATTCGTGAACCATGAAGCGGACAGCAGACTTTCTGTTGCGTCGAAAACACGAGCAAAGCCTGAAAGTAATAGCCCAAGGCCAGAGCGAAGCAAAAAGAGAAAACTCGATAACGAAGGTTCCGGGAACTCGAATCTATTGCCACTTACGAACTGCAGATTATCCTCAACGGACGTGCGCGTCCAAGAGGAGGAGAAGCGATGGAAATTGACACCTCAACAGCTTGCTACACAGATAGGCGCATTAGGGTCCTATGTCGACAAGCTCACAAGTAATGCTGACTCCCTGAATTCCTCTGCCATGTTATGCTAACCATAAATGCATGGCACTTCCCGTTGGTGGGAAGGTCGTGCACTTCTGCGTGTAACAGAGGTCTGCGAGTTACTCGAACTAGAACATCCCGAAGTACGCGTCGATCGTCTCGATGGACGACTTGTTGAGACACAGGGAGACTACACCGCGGGGGCATACTTTAAAAACGACCCTTTTCTCACCCGCGCCGGTGCTATTGGCCATATTATCAGTATGCAGGGCACCAAGTTCGCTGTTGAGGAAGCATGCGCACAGAAAGTGGTCGATTATCTAATGACGTTGGTCCAAGAAGACTACAATCTCGAAGAAGCTGCAGCGGAAGAACGCCGCCTGATTGAGCAATGGGGTAAAGGCAACAAGCGGGCTGCTATGGGATAAATCTACCGAGAATATGAGCAGCCCTTATATGACTCGACATGATCCGGTTTGATACCTCAGAACCTGTCTCGATCATGTCTGTCTGTAGGGTCTACTTGGTTTCATCGGTGCTGATCTGTCTCTCGACAGATATTTTCATAGCCTAGCAGCCTTGTGCTGTTGTCCTTTGACCCCTTTCAATGCGCGAGCCGAGGATTGGGCACAAGATAAGATGGGCGACATGGCATTTCCCGCTAATCCTCAACGTGGTGGAAATCTGGAATGGGCTTTGTTGCGGACTCATGATGTTTGATGGTCTGAAAGGCATGATTGGCTGGCGCGTGCCTTGATACATGATACATATCCTGTGCACGGTTACGAGGGCTGAGAGCCAATACACACAAGACTACATACCAATGTAGGTAATGAATTGAGCTGTTAGTTATAATTCGACGTCGTAGGGGATAGACAGAGCTGTATATGTATGAAAGAAGACAGCTGGCTGGATGGCATTGAAACTACTCCAGAGTTGCTTTTGCCCCGGTTCCCATACTGATATCAAAGACCATGTCTTCAGACTGGTTTGAAAGAAAGAGCAGAGATATGAAGGGGAAAGGGGGAAGAACTGCAATGGAAGACGTAGAAGAATAAGGCACAGAACGCAAAGAAGCAGTTCGATTTAACAGATACGCAGTAAGAGTAAGAGAAGTCAAGTAGAACAACAGAGAAGAACGTGAGTATCTTTCTCGATTTCATGAAACCATTCCCGGAGGAGTCAATAACGACTAGAGCCTCGACGATTAACGCCACACGATAAGAGAGATAAGAACATAGGAAATAAGGTAATAGAAAGAAGTCAACGGAGAAGAGGGTGAAGAGCAAGGTGCAAAAGTTGAATGAAGTTGGGTTGAGAAGAGTGAAAAAGAAAAGATGAAGGAAAGAAATTGGAATAAGGGAAGAGAATTGGCCAGGGACACATGTTGTGTAATAGTACTCCGTAGTCTCGAGTATTAAATGGAGCATGGCTAACGCTAGGGGGAGAGAAACGCATCACTCAATGGCCCTTTGGGAATTTGGAAGACACCAGATTAATCAAGTATAATAGTGTTGGAAAGGAAGTAGAAGCAAAGTCACACAAGGTCACTGGAACGTGGCTTGAATACAAGCAGGCAAGCCCATAGGAAGCCGGGTGATACTTCTGGTTGGCATCGTAAAAGAAGGGATATGCAAAAACGGATACACCAACGCCTAGTCACTTGGGCACATATCCAAATCATGTCGGCAGAACACAGAAGGATAGGAAAAGAAGCGACGAAAACAACAAAGAGCACGAGCACAAACTCAAGTTTATGGAAATGTACAGAACAAGGGTATATGAGTTAAGGACTTAACAACCGTCGGACTTCATTTCACAAGCCGTCACCGGCACCGGTCTCAACACCATCAGTGGGATACGATATGTTGGGGTCAAATCCAAAGCCAGCAGTATCCGCGTCAGTGTTGAGGAACGTATCGAAGTCGAAGTTCTCGAGGATGTCCGGGTTCTCCAGGGCGCTGAAATCGAGGTTGAAAGCAGATGCCTGCGGAACATGTGAGTACACTATTCGCTGGGCAGAAAGCAAAGAACATACATCGGGAATGCTCAAATCGTTGAAAGGTTGCTGCGTCTGATCCGGTGGCTGTTGAACAAGCGGCTGCGGTGCGGGAGCAGACGTCGGCTGCGGCGGAGCAGCAGTCGTAGCATTTGCACCGGCCTTGTTGAACGAGTTCGGATGCTGAGGAGTGATCGGAGTCGAGGGGGTAGGGGTCGGGGGATGCTCGGCTTCGGAAGATGGCGTGGCAGCCGTGTTCGCCTGGGCGACGGTGGTAGCAGCAGCACCCTTCTTCGGTCGCTAGATCTCCGTTCAATATGAGACGACGAGCAGGGTGGGACAGTAACATACCTTCCGGCTCTCCTTCATATCCTTCTTCTTCGGGGCTGGCTTGTTGGCCTGCTGCGGCGTCGGCGGGGCAGCGGTTTGAGGCGACGGCGGCTGGGTTCGACCCACGTTGGCACCGGGCGCCGGCGGAGCCTGGGGCGGCGGCATGGCGTTCCTCTCTTGAGGAGTGCCCGTGGACTGAGGCTGGGGCACGGGCGACGGTTGCGGTGCCATCGGCTGGCCCTGGACGGCTTGCTGGGGTTGCCAGCCTCCGTTGGGCATCCGATTGGCAGCACCCGCCGGGATCGGTTGACCCATCTGAGGGCCGGTGAACGCCGGGTTGGAGCTCGGAGGTCGCATTCCGTTGGGGCCCGCCATACCCTCAGCCATGTTCTTCACGAAGAACTGTGGTCCGCCCATCTCGGGGGGCATCTGGCCACCAGGGAAGTTCATGGGGGATCCACGACCCTGCGCCATGGCGTCGGCCGCGCTCGGGGAGCCGGGGAGGCCGGTCTGGGGCATCTTCGGAGTACCCCGCTTCATTTGGTCGTTGGGATTCGGTGATGTGCCCGCCCTGCTGCCTTGGGGCGAGGTGCCTGGTGGCAGGCCCTGCTGCTGCCCGGGCATTGGGGGCTGGCCGTCAGGTCGGGCCATGCTATCCTGCTCTTGGCGAGCCATCATCAAACGCCGCTTATTCTGCTGTTCAAGCAGCATAAGTTGCATCTGATAATCTTGGAGAGCATGGTTACCGTGCTGACCGCCAGGTGTCTGCATCCCCGTCCGAACCTGGGCCATTTGACCATTCGCGCCATAGAAGTCGCCGTTCATGGGATACACCTGGCCATCTGACATGGGCACCATATCCGTCGGGTTTGGCATGACACCGGGATTCATCATACCATTCGGCATGCCCTGGTTTGTCAATGCTGAGCGTGTGTGATGAATGGCCAAGTTCTGAGCATATACCTGCATCTGTTTCTGCGTAGCCTGTCCCGCTGTCGGCTGAAAAGCCTGGAACGAATTGGGGTTCATCGCCCGGTTGAGTCCGGGCTGCATCAAAAGCGCTTGCGGGTTCTGCTGGCCCGGCATACCCTGGGCCTGACCGCGTCCGTTGGGTGCCAGCTGCTGGCCGTTCATGGGACCACCTTCAAGGCGAGGCCGCTTCGACGGAGACGGGGCATTCTCTGCCGAGGCCGGAGACTGGGGCCGATGGCCGTTCATGTCCATGTCGGAGTGCTCTCGCTGCATTGTATGCATCATCTGCACCTGCTGCTGCTGAGTCTTATGGAGCTGGGCGAGTTGTTGTTGCGACCTGAAAGTCTTGTCAGCACCACCATCAATCGCTCTTGCGAAAAGGACCTAGAAGAAAGGGGGCGTACAGGCCAGATGTATTATTCTGCAGAACAGTCTTCTGGAGATTAGGGGGAACCATGCCGTTCCGGCGCATATTCATCTGTGCCATCTGTCCAGGTATCAGTGGCTGTTGCCGCAATAGGCTACTCTGTTGCTGTTCCCTGAGGCGCATTATACTCTACAAAGCCTCAGTCAGATGGTCGGATAGGCTGCAAATATTGAGAGCACGTACCTGGGTGTGAGCAAGATAATTTTTCACATCAGCACTATTCCCTTTCTTGCGCTGGGCCCAGAAAAAATCCCAAAAGAGGCTAAACCAATCGAGGAGGAATGAAGACTGCTGTCCTTCACTAGGAAGGTTTGGACGAGGAAGGTCGTCGGGTATCTTCAGCTTATCGCCATCCTTTCCATCCGTCATCATCGTATCGCCGTCGACACCATTCACGTCAGCATCGCGACGGTGACCCGGACTTGTCTTGATAGACGGTTCAGTATTGAGTTTGATCGAATCGTCCTTCACAAGCGCCCTCGCACACTCATGGTAACCGCGCTTCAGGAAGTAATCGTATATATAAGTGTTGAGGTTATTGATCATATTCTCAGGAATGTTGTTAATGTTTGGGTCATTACGGGGGGCCGCGGAACCATTGTTGATCATTGGGACACCTCCCACGGGGCCCCCTGCACCGGGATTCATGCCAGCCATATTCATCTGATTCATGGTGGCACTCAAAAGGGCTCAGCCACCCTCACCTGGTTATTGTCCTCGATGGGAAAGCGTCGGGGTCCGAGAAGGTTCAACGCGCATCCACCGTTTTGCGGCGAGGGAGCTCACCACAAAAGATACGACGAGGCGCGCGTGGCAATCAGGATCCCGAGACGAGGCGAGGAGGAAATGTGTAAGGCAAGGTCACGGACGCTTCCAGCCCGATGTATGATAGCTTCGTATCCAGACCCGAATGGCGCGATCGTCAGGAAGTAAGCTTAGCCCGGGATCTAATCTAGGCGATATTCAGGCCAAGGTATCGTTTCAAGCTAAGTGACGTAGAGGGGTGCCTCTGACGGAGCGTAGAACAACGCAGAGCGAAGTGTCGCGATGATCACCAACAAGAGGAGATGAGCGTGGCCCACTCCGGAGCATACGCAACTGAGGGAAACGAAAGAATCTGCGGTTGCTTCTAGGATGAAGCGATCGAGCACAGACGGTAAGGACTTCTGTCGAGCAAGATGCAGAGGCAGCAAGAGAGGGAAAGAGAAGAGCCAGGGAGGGAAGAAAAATTAGAGGCAGGAGGAGTGTATTTGTCCAGAAACCCAGCAAGCGAAAATGCGCGGTAAGATCAACCGGGGGGGCAGGGCGGCGAACAAGCGACACAGGATGGCAAAGGACGGGAACGAGGTATAGGAGAGAGACCAGGCCAGAGGAAACCCGACGGGTACCAGTCAGAAGCCAAGGAAATAGAGAACTTTACAGGAAGTAAAAGTATCCCCAGAGCCCCTGCAGAAAAAGGAAAGGGGAAGAGACGGAGAGATCCGGCAGATTTGAGGGTAGGTGGAGGGGGAGGGAGGAGAGGCAAAGGTCAGGACAAGGTGTAGCGGTGGATCTGAGGTGTTCTCTGGTGGGTGGGAGGACGTGGATATCAGGCGCGGTGCCTGGAGTTGCTCAATCACTGCCGGCCGGGCGTGAATCGCTTGTTCGGCGCGGATTATCCTGCCCGGAACGCCGTGGGAGGGCTGGGAGATGCGGCTGGCTCGCGTATATCTCAGCATGCAGTTCCAGAGAACGGAACGAGTTCAGAAGGGAAACAGAGGGAAGGAAGCCGGGAAAAATAAAAAGCCAGGAAATAAATTACGGGACATGATGCTGATATGATGGAGCAAGAGGAATCAAGTACTCACCACAAGGGATCAAGATGATGTACTCCGTAAAAGCACAACCTAGGTGCAGGACACACAAACCGAAAATCCACTCGGGATCAGAAAGCGAAGAGGCTGGTTACAAGTTATATAAGATATCTCCTGGAGTCCGACGAACACGCGCCGAATGATCCACCCGATCTGGTGTTAGGTATATAGAGTGTATCTGATACAGCGGAAGCACTCTGACATTCACAAAGAACCTCCCATAACACAAGCGAAGGAAAAAAAAAAAAGCGGATTGATTGGAACACTAGGACTGTAAGCACACCGCATGAATATACAATGGTCCCCTAATGCTTAAAAATTTGCTTATTTAGAAGGGCTGGGGCCGTGTTGGGTTCGGAAAAGGAAAGACACCACCGGAGGGTTAAGGAATGAAGAGTGATCGAAGACCCTGTAATCGGCCTCCATGGACGGCGGTGGTGACAGTTGAGGCTGGATCGCAAGCTCGCCACCGCGTACATCCTGGCACACCCTGGGAATGATGGGATGTCCGGCCGCCCGTTCCGGTCTAGCGCATCACGTGGTGCCTCTCCCGCCGGGTGAGGATTTCCTGCGCCGATCTGCCCGTCCTGCCGTTCCCCGGACTATCCATGTGTATGTCAGATGTATCGACGTGGGATGGACATCATACGAGGTAGATGTTTCTTGCTCCCCCGCCTGGGATCCCTGAGCAACCCCCATCAGTCCCTACTTCTGATACCTGTCTGGCCGGATCACAACTGGCTGCCGATCAACCGCTCCTTTCCGCAGCTAAATCAGCACGATCAGCCCGGATCGTGGTGTATCAGTTAGTACGGAGTACAGGACCGTCTCCGATCACCGCCGAGTCCTACACCGTGCGGGCCGTCCTCCGTAGAAGGGGTCGAGCTGTCCATATACTTAATGCTCCGCTCCTTACATAGTACATTTCAGACAACCGGTGCGCAGCTAATTTGTAAGCTATATAGCTTCAGTCTATCATTTCCACGTAATAGACATCTCCGCGGTTCTGCCAAGTAAAGTAAGCCTTGGAACTCCGGTGGTACTACTGTGTATCCGGAATTGCAGGTTTCTACCGCCTCCGTGGTGTATCGATGCGCCTGTCAACCAAGAGGCTAGCACCCGTGTAGATCGCCGTGTGGGACATACCACCTTCACAGATCCATTATGATGAGCGAGATATATTATATTGGCAGGTCAATGTTTTAGGTCTGATGTTACGTTTGTATCTATCGATGCTGCTTAAGAAAATGCGTATATTGTCCAGATGCTGTGCGCGACAATCGCATTGTGTGTTTTTTTATTGTTGGTCCTGCAAGATTCTACTGCTGCAGCCTGGTCTAGGCCACGCAAAGAAGAAGGAGTAATGAATAGCAGGTACAAGGCATTCGACATTGATCGTCAATCATGAGAAATGTAATATTCATCGATAGCTGCAGCTCCAGATCAGCGGATAAACCCTCAAAACACCAGACGCCTCGACTTGTATAAAAAGGTCCCGACCACCCATACGGCATGATACCACTACTCCTCATCGGGTGGCATCTCATCCTCGATGTATCTCACAAGTGACACCCGCATCTCCGTCGTATCATCGCCTCGCAATACGTCGCTCACAAAATGCGCCTCGATCTGCATTTGCACCTGCCCACATAATCAGCATGCCTGTGCATAATAAACGCATGGCAGGGAAGACAATAAGTTCTCTGCCGCATGTCATCGTACCATTTCCAGTGCGCCCCGCAGAACTCCGCAGAGGATATTGGAAAACCACAGCTCATCTTGTGCCCGTCCATCATCCGGCAGCTCAACGAAGTCCGCCAAGGGGTTTTCGTCAAATATGAGAGAGAATTGGTTATTATCGCTCGTCCAATTGGTTACGGTGGGAGCGATGTTGAGGAAGATCCTGAAGCCAACCTGGTGGGATCGTACCCGTCAGCTTACGGCAGCTCACGATAATTCAACCGCTTGTTCTGCCCGTTGACCATAGCATACCTTCGAGATCATATCCGCCGTTTCCCGGAAATTCGCACATCGCCCCACGTTGGACTTGGCCAGGAAATCCTCGATCAGTCGCATTCCAATGTTGTAGCCCATCTTCTCCAGTTGTTTGTTCACTTCGTGGTAATTCCCATCGTAGTCCTGGCAAAGCTGCGCGACAATTGTGCCGTATGTTAAAGTCACCAACTCGGCGTTCACTTTGTCAACTCGTGTTCTGGGAGTGTCGGAGATAAGTTAGTTCTCAATCCGGTTCACACTGGCTTCGCTCATCACTTTTAAAAATAGCGTTCAAGGTGCCAGCTAAGAACATGCAGCTTACTGACTTCCACAGCCTGTCAGGTTAGAGATTAGTGAGAGGGTTGATTGAGTGAGACAAGAGGACACCTTACTCTTCCCCAATCCTAGATGCCTTCGTTGCGGATGACATGACGGCTATATTCTCAAGCTCTTCAGGTTCAGCGTCAAGGATACAATGTTGCAGGCCGGAGCGAACAGAATAGAGCGACAAGATACTCGACCGAAACAATGGCAATGCACACTCCTCCCCGCTTGAATCAATGGACCGAGGGGGTACGGAGGCGGAGCTTCACGCGCCTGGTGGACCAGCGCCGGGCGCTTACCGCGTCTAACTGGCGCTTGTCTAGAAACGTCCTCGGACGCAAGACTCAGTCCGGTTCGGCGCGTTCGACCAGAATTCCCCAGCTAGGCTCGAATCCATTCCTAGTTTCCGCCGCCCCCAATACTTGGTCCTACACACTTCTTGGTTGAGCCAGCTGGTTGGGCCATTTCACAAACATGTCGGGAGAAAAGCGACCTGCACAGGAAGCCTTTGGCTCGTCTAGTCAGCTTGTCGTCAAGCGAAAGAAGTCCGACGCCGGTCTCAATGATAGTACAGCGATCGTGCAAAGCTCGTCGCAGAATGGTGCTTTGATACAAGCAGTGTGTTTCTTTCAGGCTGTTTCAAGGGGTTAATACCCTCAATGTTCATTGTTGACCATGGTGATAGGTTCCCCGCACCAGCGGGCTCCAAGCACCGATCATGGAAATGACAGGTGAGATGCACCGTCGTGGTGGCATGGATCATACGCTGACAAGACACGAAAATTGCCAGGCCATTCTGGGGAGGTTTTTGCTGTACGATTTGACCCCACGGCACAGCACATTGCTTCGGGCTCTATGGATAGATCTATCTGTATGTGGTTCAACTAATTCTAATGGCCAGGCGATTTGGGCTAATCACGGAATCCACAACAGTGCTTTGGAACACCTATGGACAGTGCGATAATTACGGTGCGCTATCAGGTCACCGCGGGGCAATTCTTGACCTCCAATGGTCGCGCGACTCGAGGACGATATTTTCCGCATCGGCCGACATGACGCTTGCTAGCTGGGATCTAGAGACGGGACAACGGATTCGTCGGCACATCGGGCACGAGGAGATCATCAACTGCCTCGACATCAGCAAACGAGGCCAGGAATTGCTGGTTAGCGCGAGTGACGACGGCTGCATAGGAATCTGGGATCCTCGGCAGAAGGATGCTATTGAATACCTGGAAACCGAGTTGCCCATAACGGCGGTGGCTCTTTCGGAGGCAGGCAACGAGATCTATAGCGGTGGTATCGACAACACTATCCATACCTGGGACCTACGAAAGAAAGGGATCGTCTACTCTATGGCGGGACACACAGAGACCATCACCTCTCTTGAGATTTCGCCCGACTCGCAGACTCTTCTTTCCAACTCGCATGACTCAACTGTACGCACATGGGACATTCGGCCGTTCGCACCGACGAATCGACACATCAGGACCTTTGACGGTGCACCGGTTGGTTTGGAGAGAAACCTCATCCGGGCAAGCTGGGACCCAAGTGGAGAGAAGATTGCGGCAGGCAGCGGCGACAGGAGTGTTGTTGTGTGGAACTCAAAGTCCGGCAAGATTCTATACAAACTTCCCGGGCATAAGGGGACTGTCAATGATGTCCGGTTTTCTCCGAACAACGAGCCCATTGGTAGGTTATACTGGGAATTGACAGACGGTCATGTGCTAACTGCTCTTCACAGTTGTGTCTGGATCTTCCGATCGAACACTCATGCTTGGTGAACTGGGCAAGTGAGATAAATGCCTATGCAGTGAACTCAGCCAACGCGACAGCGAGTTAATCCGTCTATCTATTAAGCAGCCTTGATTCAGGACGACAAAGCTGCTGAGCCCTCGGGGTTTCAGTGAAGCTTTGACTTGTGGCGATCGCAAAACATCCTACGGTCAAAATCTTCCTTGCCGGCTGGAGTGTGTCAAGCAAGGATGGTAGGTTTACCATCGGAAGCAGACCAGGAATAATGGCAGACCGCATGACGGGGAGATTGTTACCACCCAGATGCGACCCCCTTCAGTGAGCGCAGTATATCCACATTTTCGTGCCTTGCAAATGTAATAATATACGTCAGAATGATAATGGCTCGTACTTGGAATGTGTAACTTGGTGGTGGGGATTGTGGGATGTGGCCCTCTTGCGATCATGATTCGGGCTGTTGGCCAGCGTGTTCCGGTAAGGTGCGGTAACCGAAGCACTCAATCAGTGCGATGTCTATTGGCTACCGTGGAGGTCGAAACAGGTGGTCTCCTTCAAGCGCGAGGAGCCACCCATCCTTAATATTAATTAGTGCTATCATTATCTTTATCCGTGTCCACGGGAGAAGGGAGAGAGAGAAGGGACATACTATCTACCTAGCGACCTACCGGTGGGGGAGTTGGATCTCTGCAGTATGCACAGGCCTAATCAATACAGTAGAACAGTGTATGGTGTACCTTAGATCCATGGGCACCCAGCTACGGGTTGTTATCGGACAGCTCGGACTTGTTGGGGGAGCAAGAGGGGGGCGCGCTTGTGTGCCTATACTTAGACGGCGGCCGTCTATATCAGGGCAACGTGGGTCATCCAGGGGTAAATGGTCAGCCCCTACGGCGATGAACGAGGAGAGACGTGGTGCATCCGGTACTAATAATAAATGGATGGGTCCGCCGCCGACTGGATCACAGTGTACGTAGATACTGGTTAGATACTACGAGATCATCTCATAATCCCACAATAATAGTAGATACTAGAATTTTAGAAAGTGTCGAAGGGTTGACTGATGCCTGCCTGAGGGCCTTGCCTCGGAAGCACCACTTAGTTCTTACTTACCCATTGGGGCCCGGAACTGTCACACTGTGTTTCGCTCCCTCACGGCCAATCTTACAAGCCTCTTCCTCTTCCTTCTCCAGACTCCCTCCATCTCTTCGCCATTCCGTGGTCATGATCGCTCGTTCTTGCTTGCATTTATATCTCAAGCTCTGTTGCTAATCTCCTTTCTTGGTCACTTCTTCTCCTCCATCCTTATCAGTTTGCACGCATCATTGCTTTTTGCCCTGTGATATCTCCCAAAGGCCCCCCAGTCCAACCCAGTCCAACCCAGTCCAGTCCCGGACTAGTTATCACTCGGGTATAGATAATAATACTTTTCGCTGGTCCCTTCCCACCGGATTGAACGCAACTGCCTACTGACCGGCTGGCCTGGTGCTCGCCCAATTCCTTCACTTGTTTGTGTGTCTTCGTTCGTTTGGAATTTGTTCTTCCACAATTGTGAGAACGTCTCATCAATTCTTCTAATTCTTCATCGCTCTGATCCCCCTTTGACCCCGTCGCCGTGTTCCGTGGTTTCCGTTGCGATCGGGATTCCCGTCTTATGCTGCTCCCCTGGGCCCCCTCCTTCACCCCAGGCCTCATCTTCATTATGATTGTATAGCGTCCGAAATCATAACCAAGTTCCCAATTCGACCACAGAGATCCGGCTTCGCGAGTTATTATCCGTTTTGCATCACAGGGTCGATCATTCCAGGCGGTTTGCGTCAAGTTCTGCGTTCCTGCGACGCTTATTTGCGTGTGGTTCAACGAATGCGGAAGTGGGCAGTACATATCATCGCAGAACATATCATATTTGAGGTCGGAGGAAACCGTATTGTCGCATATAACACTACACCGTGATCTCTGCAGAATCCCAACGTTCCGCCCCTTGTCTGTCCCGATGTTATTGTACGACTGTTAGATCGAATGGACATGGAATCGGTTCAGCTGTCTCATTCGGGATCGACGACACATTCCAGCTCGATCCCCGGCATGTTGCCGCCCGATCGCTCTTCGCATGTCAATATTAATGGGGTGATCAGAGATGACCATCTTCGGAGAGCTTCCAATCGTGAGGAGCGGTTCACGTCATGGGTGACCGACCATCGTCTCGACCTCGAACAGCGGATCCTTGGGGACCGCGCTGAGCGTCGCGAATCCCGCTTACCTGGACGATCGACACCGTCGCATCGTTCTCTAAGAGATGTCGCTGCATCCCACTATGCGCCAAGAGGGCCCTACGTGCCGATTGAGCTGCGGTCTGCAGCAGATGGGGAGGCACGGTCGCATGCCCGATCAGAACGAGACTCACCTGGAGCACACACCCTACCAGACCCTGAAAGCCTCCGTTGCAGGCGATCGTGTGGATCAAGGCTGAAGGAGAAAAGGGTGCGGAGGCGGCTTATCACGTTGGTCGTGTCTGCCGGTTTTCTCATCCTTGTTGTCGCTATTTATCTCGCATTCGCTGCTTCTAGAACTACGCTGGGCCGGGAGCTCCAGATCCTTCTCATCTTCATGATCTTAATCCTCGGAATTGTCTTCTGTCATTCTCTCACCCGCTTCCTCATGGCAATTTTACGACGGCCCGGCTCTGATGTCGCTACGAATCGCATACCCAGTAGGGCAGGGCCAGCCGGCTATGCGCAACCAGCGCGTCCTATCCACGTTATTCTGGCCGGAGATGAGGATGTTGCGGCCGCGAGTCCTAGCGCCGTGCGCGAAAAGGTCACGGCACCCCCTCCGGCGTACGGTCTTTGGAGAAGTAGCGTGGTAAGTACCCACATGTGCAATTGATGCACCTTCGTCTGCCGGTTTGTTGGAGGAGACAGGTCTCACTGACATCTGCATGCAGAGGCTAAACCCCGACCTGCTGTACTGGCAACGCATCGAAAACAATAATACGCAAATACCCAAAGGTGTTGATAGACGTGCGAGCAACAAGGCTCGGATACCACGACCTCCTAGCTACACATCTGACAACGGCGTCGACTATGTGATAGAAGCGCAACCCCGATCATTGACGCAATGGCGAATTTCCGAGGAGTCAAGACATCAACCGTAGTCCGTTCACCATCAACCTCTGCTTCGACATTCTACAGCTGGATGCGCCGACACAATGGCATCCACGATCGTTCTCTTATCTCCAAGATACGTCGTGCCGCAGCCACTGCGATCACGCGTCCTGGGTTTCCTTTGCTTGAGATATCCCCTGTGACTTTGCTTCCTTTCTTTTCGCGCCATTCTCCTCACTTTCCATACGATGTTTCCTTTTCTCTGGATTATTGGGATGAAGCGGGAGTTACATTGACATGCGAGCACCTATCTATCTGGCCAGCATTGATTGAGCGCTACATGATTAGATTTAAGCTTGTTTTCTTGACGCTTATGGAATTCTAAAAACCCGGGAAATGAAGGCCCACCGTAAGCAAGCCAGCTGATTCATCAAGAGGCACGGATTAATAATAATCGGACCCTGGCATGGAAAGTAAGTGCCAGTGTCCTCCTGTAGTCCGAAAGGGGGATCGGAACGGCATATCTGGCCGCAAAACCGATTCGCCGCGGGTTGGATACGACCTCACGTGCGGCGCCGCTGCCACCAACGAACCCTCCACCTCAAGCTCCCCTCCCCCTCCCAGGAACCCTTTCTCTGAAGGCAATCTGTTCGCCGACTGGCAGGGGTTCCATCACACCACAGTTCATCAGCGCGCTCTCATGCCATTGATAACGGTTTCGCTGCTGCGGTAATGCGCTCGGGATGTTGGCACTTGCAGATGTCCGACCTCCGTTCAACATGGATGATGACCTGGGTCTTGCTTCTGTCGCTGTGGCTCGCCATGGCCCAGGGCATGCGGACCGATCGGGTTAAGGAACTGAGGTAAGTCTGTCAAATTGATTAGTCCCGTCAAGTTGCTCCGATCGAAGGCACATGGACTGATACCTCCGATGTTCAGGAGAGAGACAGAGCATATGTTCTACCATGGATTTGAAAATTACATCGAACACGCCTTTCCTGAAGACGAACTTCGTCCGCTATCCTGCCGTCCGCTGGTTCGCGACCGAGACAATCCCGCGCATGCAGAACTCAACGATGTCCTAGGCAATTATTCCTTGACTTTGATCGACAGTCTATCGTCCCTAGCCATCCTCTCGTCAAGTCCCGAGGAGGGCAAGAAAGCTTGGGACTATTTTCAAAATGGGGTGAAGGACTTTGTCACACTGTACGGAGACGGCTCTGACGGCCCTGCAGGCCAGGGTCAAAGAGGAAGGGGATTCGATATGGACAGCAAGGTCCAGGTCTTCGAGACCGTGATTCGAGGACTAGGTAGGCATTGGATCTCGTGCATGGGCGTTATACAATGCTCACGATTCCTATAGGTGGTCTTCTTAGCGCCCATCTTTTCGCTGTCGGCGACCTTCCCATCAGCGGGTATTGTCCCCCGGAGACACAAGCCGACTTTGCCAAGGCTTGGGAGAAATCCCCTTTTCCAGACGATAGTCAGGGTATCCAGTGGGATAACGGATTTGTCTACGATGGTCAACTCCTACGACTTGCTGCCGATCTAGCGAACCGTCTTCTTCCCGCTTTCTATACGGATACCGGTCTCCCTTACCCGCGAGTCAACCTCAGATACGGAGTGCAACGACAGCCTTACTACGCGAACTCGCCGTTGAATGCAGCCCCCACGTGTGACAACACCAACCCCGGCCAGTGCCAAAGGGCTCGCCGCTCCTCGGCTCCAGAGACCACGGAAACCTGCAGCGCCGGCGCTGGCAGTCTGGTCCTGGAATTTACTGTTCTAAGTAGACTTACCGGTGATGGCCGATACGAGGAGCTCGCAAAGCGGGCGTTCTGGGCCGTTTGGGCAAGGAGAAGTGATATTGGACTGATAGGATCGGGCATTGATGCCGAGTCTGGCAGATGGGTCCATTCCTACACTGGGGTGAGTGGTTCCAAAAGCCCCGCATTCGGGCATGGCTGACCATATGAATGTCTCAGATCGGCGCTGGAATTGATAGTTTCTTCGAGTATGCTTTCAAATCCTACGTCTTGCTCTCTTCCGGGGAGCGGCCCCCTGTCAATACTAGCAGCCCATGGCATGTCCTGGACGACTACTTCCAACCGCTGTCGGAGTACGAACACTCAGCGGATGCTTTTCTAAACGTATGGGAGGAGTCGCATGCGTCAATCAAACGTCACTTATATCGCGGAGAGGGCCATCAGCATCCACACCTGATTCAAGGAGATATCTTCACGGGGGCAACTCGTGCTTTTTGGATCGACAGTCTTAGCGCCTTCTACCCCGGGCTGCTTACCTTGGCGGGAGAAGTGGACGAAGCCACCGCAATCCATCTTCTGACGACAGCCGTCTGGACTCGGTTCTCGGGCCTCCCTGAACGATGGAACGTCGCCACGGGAGATATTGAACAGGGCCTCGCCTGGTACGGTGGGCGTCCTGAATTTGTGGAGTCTACATATTACCTCTATCGGGCGACTAAAGACCCTTGGTATCTGCATGTCGGGGAGATGGTACTGCGGGATATCAAACGGCGGTGCTGGACCAAATGCGGCTGGGCTGGCATTCAAGACGTCCGGAATGGTGAGCTCAATGACCGGATGGAGAGCTTCTTCTTAGGCGAAACCGCCAAGTACATGTTTTTACTCTACGACTTTGACCATCCCCTTAACAAGATCGACCAGCCAATCGTCTTCTCTACCGAGGGTCATCCCCTCCTCATACCCAATAATAGCACGGTGCTCCGTGGTGAGCACAAGCGGCCGCCAGTCAACGGGGAAAGAGGTGAACCGCGGTGTCCAACTGCACCCCTGCCTCCAATTTTAGGGGTCTCATCTACCGCTGCTCGCCCGGATGTGTTCCACGCCGCAAATCTGGCCCGCCTGCATCTCATGCCGAGTAGAGGCATGCCGGAAGGCCCTCTTCTGGACTATGCCCAGGACCACCCGAGCATGTCCGTGTCGGATTTGGCATCGCCTACTAACTACACTTTCTTCCCGTGGACGTTGCCCCCCGAACTGGTCCCGTTCAACGCGACAAGCTCGCCAATGACGATCCGCCCTACACTCGACATCTCTTTCCCTGCGCTTCCCGGCATGGTCATAGGGCCGGGGTCTTTGGAGCGGGTGCGAGATGGCATCTTCATCAAAGCTATCGGGGGGTTGCGGCTGAGTATGGTCCAGGACGTCCCTGTGCACGGGAGTTCCGGGGGCACGAGCGGAGACGAGTTCCGGGTGCAGGTGATCAATAACGTGCCCTTGGGGAAAGACGAGAAGGTATATCTTCTCCGGGAGATCACATTTGATGTCCTCGACCCCACTGATCCGAACTTCACGCGCGTTCGCGACACCGCCATGATTGACATCGTCATTGACGTTATCCCAGAGATTATCCGTCGACGCAATGGTTCGGATGATGGCCAAGAACCAGCTGCCCCACGACATGCAAACGGGGCCATCGTCCACGGCTCCGGTTCCGTCGACGGGAAAGTCGGCAGCGTAGATCCGTCTACGTCCAGCATGAAGACCGTCTTGTCGTCGCTAGTGAACACCTTGTCTACTCTACTCCGGGACGAGGTGCAGGGACAAACGAGCCTGCCACAGAAGAAAGCGTCCTCGTTGCGACTACTGCTCCCGGCCGCCATCTCGACCGGTCTCGGCTCCGCTCCGCTCCCCGACGTGGAGGACGCGCCGACGGTGTCCGTCACTGGCGACCCGTCCAAGCAGCGACTCAGCTGGAACAGCATCTACTTTGCCGACGAGCTCTGCGACCAGCGCATCTTGCGTGAAGTTGCCCAGAGCCACCAAGTTCTCGTCGTCAAGCGGGGCGGCTGTAACTTCTCGCAGAAGCTGCGCAACATTGCCGCGTATCCACCGTCCCGGTATGCGTTGAAGATGGTCATCGTGGTGTCTTACGACGAAGATGTCGGGGAGCCTGTCGGATCGAACCCGACAACACCTGGCTTGGCTGCTGTCCGCGCAGAACCCTACCTTGCTCGACCGCATCTGGACGAGACACAGATGACAGCGGGAGGCGTCCCCCGGCGCCACCTGCTCAGCGTCGTCATGGTAGGCGGGGGCGAGGAGACGTACGAGCTGCTGCGGCAGGCGACGGCCGTGGGGATCAAGCGGCGGTATTCAGTACGGTCTCAGGGGGTGCCCATCAATAACCTGTATATTCTGTAATTGAGTACCTAGTATGGAGTGCAAGCCCGTCGCCAGCCATGTAATATCAACCAACATGTCGTACGGAGTAACCAGGGGCACTGTAGCCCAGCAGCCCGCCATAGCTACCTCACCAACCCTTCAAGTCATCTCGACTCGCGCGTCATTTCGATACCAAGCCCCATCACCCCCAACAGCAAACCCGATCAAGATCCGGATGAGATCTCCACGAGCACGCCACCCATCGGACTTGGATCGGCGGGTGTCCGGTCATCCGGGGCGAGATGTCGCCATCTCCGAACGGCGCTGATTGGACGCGCCATCGCCGCCGCCCGCGACTTGAGTGGCTCAGCCTGGCAGCCAGGATGGCGGCGGGGCTGAGAATCGGTCCGATTGGCTTTCCCCAGGAAATTGGCCGATAAGCCCCAGGGACCCGCGATAAGGCCTTTCGGAGGCAACCCGGCTTTAAGGTTTGCGCGGGTTTCGCCTGGTTCCTGACGCTGCAGAACAGGGAGGGGCTCATATAAAGCCGGGTTTCTGGCGGTGCTTGCTTGTGGATCAACTCTGTCTGTCTCTCTCTCTCTCTTTCTTGCATTTATCTCTCCGTCTGAGCTGGTTCGATCTACCTCCTCACACCCACTTTCTTTCATCCAATCTACGAGATTGATCCACTCTACTCCCCTCTACACAATCCCTCCAGACAAACCAACACAATACAATACACAACACACCAAAGAACCAAGAAGACCTAACATCAAAATGCATCTCCACACCGACATCGACCCCTCCTCCTCCTCCACCACCACCATCAACATCTCCACCGCATCAACCACAACCACCACCACAACAATCACCAAACCAACCACACCAACCACCACCACTACAACCCTCTCAACCACTGCCACCCCCACCCACCACCTCCAAAAACCCCTCTACTTCGCCTACGGCTCCAACCTCTCCCCCACCCAAATGTCCACCCGCTGCACCATCGACCCCCAAACCTCCATCCCGCTCGCCATCGCCCGACTCCCCAAATGGCGCTGGCTGATCCACCAACGCGGGTACGCGAACGTTCTTCCGCCCCGGGACCTGCGCATCGGAGGCCAACTCCACCCCGATGCGGAACGGGTTCCGATTGCGGGCGACGAGGATGCCGTGTACGGTGTGCTGTATGATATGGGGGTCGAGGATGAGCGTATCTTGGATGGCTATGAGGGGGTTGATTGGGATGCGCCTGTGGCGAAGGGGGGGAAGGAGGGCTTGGGGGTGGATGTGAGGCCCAGGGAGCAGGGGAGGGGGTCGTATAATAAGTGGGTGGTGGAGGCGGAGGTGGTTAAGTGGGTTGTTGTTGGTGGCGGGGGTGAGAGGGAGAAGAGGGAGACTGTTGTGCCGGTGTTGGTGTATGTTGATGAGAAGAGAGTGACCATGGGACCGCCCCAGAAGGAGTATATTCCTCGGATGAATCGCGCGATTCGGGAGTCCGTGGAGCTGGGGTTGCCGGCACAGTGGGCTGAGGAGGTTATGAGGCCGTCCATTCCGCTGATGTGAGTATCTTAGAGTGGTGCGAATGGTGGCTTAGGGTATAGATCTAGATCGTGCTACGGCTGCTTATAGAAGCATAGCGGGTATTAAAGGTATCTCATTGGTATTTCATAGTCTATGCAAAATTTTAAATCATCTGCACACTTGCCATCCACTCAGTGACTAGGCCAATTGCCTGGGGGGGACCGCCAGCTCCATTTTGACGCTCAATGGTCTTTTTTCACCCCCATGCCAACCATCCGTCCATGTGGTCGATGCGGAGCGACCAACCACTCCGCATCAGACCCAAGCCGGTCGGGTGGCCGCCACAGCACTAGATCAGACACTGTGGCACCACCGGCAACTCCCCAGGCGAGTTGTAATGAGAAAGTGTGCGTCTTTTTTTCTGTTTTTGTGCGTACGCGAAATCAAACCATCGAACAGGTATGAAATTTTTTTGGGTGCATGTCATAGGGTCATTAAGCCTTCTCCTCCTGGCCAGTGAGGAGAGTGTAAACGGGGGCAGGCAGCTTGTCCCGTCCGTGAAGGAACTCGAGCTCGAGGAGGAAGACGAAGCCCATCAGGTCACCGCCCATGCGCTTGATGAGTTCACCAGCAGCATACGCCGAACCACCTTGAATCTCAATTAGCGGGGAAACAATCCGAGTTTGGAAAAAGGAAGCATACCGGTAGCAATGATGTCGTCAATGACGATGACCTTCTGGCCCGGCTTAATCGCATCGGACTGCATCTGGAAGAAGTCGGTTCCATACTCCTTCTCGTAGCCCTGGGTGTCGCAAGGACCGGGAAGCTTGCCCTGCTTGCGGACGGGGACAAAGCCGGCGCCCAGGCGCAGGGCCAAGCTGGGTCCCATCAGGAAGCCACGGGCCTCCAGACCGACGATCACATCGGGCTTCTGGTTGCCGTTGCTCTCGAGGATGTGCAGCTCCAGGCAGCGGAGCAGGGCCTCATGCAGAGAGTGATCGGCGAAGATGGGGAGGATATCCTCGAACAAGATGCCGGGCGACGGGAAGTCGGGGAACTGACGCAGGGCCTCGCGCAGCTTTACTTTAAGACTGGCGAGTTCGGCGGTGCGGGCGGAAGAGGAGGACTGTCCGGCGACTTGGGCGGCGGCGGTGGCATGGGGAGGTTGCACGGGGGGAGTGGAAGTTGGTTGAGACATGGTGAAAAGAGGAGGGAGAGAAGAGAGGGAAATAAGAGAGAAAAGGGGGGGAGACGCGGAGGGAAGAGTCAAACGGGGGGAGGTGAGGGGTGAGGAAGATCGAAAAAGGTAAAAATAGTTGAAATCGGCGTGATAAGCAAAAGAAGGAGGGGGAAAAGAAGGAAAAAATTCCAAACGGGAAATATGCGAGGGAAAAAAAAAGTTGAAGATCGGTATTCCGTATGGCCCGGAGGTATGGCATCCTGGCCGTATTGTCATGCACCCGTAAGTTTCCCGCCTCTTTCGATGGCCCAGGTCACTTCTTAGAGGGAAATCTCACCATAAAGAACTAAGATAGAAAGGGGAAATAAGAAAAGAACAAGCATAAATGATCATGCTTTGGCTGTCGTACAGAATGTAATGTTTATGTCAAAGATATTACTTGTAGAACCCCCGGAGGAGCAGACACGATCTATGGCGAACTACCTAGGTACCATACGGAAACGGGCTGCAGGTCAGTATGGTAAGCGGCGGAACGGCTGCCCCTCATCCGTCGCGAACTGACAATCCCACGAGTCTCGAGTCGAGCGTCGAGAGTCGAGAACCTGTCCAGCTTCCAGACTCTCTCTCGGCCTCCTCCCCCAACCGTCATCAGCCCATCGGAGGGTGTCAAGCGTGAGTCAGGGATGCGATCAGTTCCCTCATGTTTCAGGACGTAGGCCAATCTCTTCCGTGGGAAGGGACAGCCACCCCTCCTCCGGGCTGAACTATATCGGTACCGTTGTATACCAGTGACCGTGTAAGAGCACGTCGTACTACGCGGTGCTACTCGAGCGGCCCCTCCAATGGCGCCATGATGCAAGTCACTGATTCCAGGTTATGCACCCCTCGCGCTGCTGCTAAAGGCCCGCCATCCGCTTTTCTCACTGGCCAGCCTGTCTATCTGGCCTTGTCATGGTCTCGCGTGGGGAGACCGGCCAGTAAGTGGGTGAGTGGACAGGTCGACTGGCCCTCCGTATCGACGCGCTGGGACCCCGACTAGATAGATACATCGCGTCCAGACTCCTATGCTGCATCGCAGTGCCTGACTGCGTGTACCGGCCATGTCTGTCCATCAGTGGATCAGATCCCGCCGGGGATCGTCATGCTGCGCTGGACGGTCCCCATCCTTAAGCCGAGCAACCGTCCCTTCCTGAGACGGGCCAACTGCCATTCATCGTAAATCACCACGGTTGTTCGCAATCCGGTGCTATAAATAAAGCCCCTCATTACGTGCTCGCCGGAGAGGACGGGGGTGGTGGGAGTACCACCAGTCCACCACAGCCACCGCGGGGGACCCGAAGCGTCGGCTTCTAGACCCGTCCACGATTCCCAGGCTACACGTGAAACTCCTGGCCCATCCAAATGGAGGTTTGGGCGATCAAGAACCGGTTGGCCACACCGCCGGGCTCCCAGGGAGGGAGACGATAAGCCCGGCGATTTGCTGGCTGGAGAATGCGCTAGAGGATTCATCCAGGATAGTCTGTCTATACTAGGATATTCCCAAGGTCGTAAATTACCGGATCGCCGGTTAATTAGAAGCACGGCCGGTGGCTGCTGGCCCTGCAGCATCGCGCACTTTCCGCTGGACTCTGGATACAAGATAGTACTACTACTAACTATGTACTAGTAGAGAAGGTACCTTCATCCCCGGCCTCTCATCGGCTTCCCTTTGAGCATGTTTCAGACGGCCCCGCTGTTTATCTATCAACACCGACTCCCCCTGCATGGCCTCACCTAGCAGCTTTGCAACAATGCAACAATGCCACACGGCGCAATTCCCTCCTATCTTCCCCTCCATCGTTCTAGACTTCCTTTTGTCCTGGAGTCACGCACTTAGTGGTAGGCTGTCTTTGGACTACATGGCTAGGTCCGGGTCTGCCGCAGTCAGTTCACTCCGATTCAGCATTGGTTACGAAGTACTAATTGATTTGTCTTTATTCTGACTTCGTTGTGCAGGCGAATTCCTTATGGCTCATGGTTCCCTCATTACGGAGGGGTCGTCATTAACCTGTTAGGACCGAATCGCGCCCGCCGTATCAGCTTGTTCGGCCCCAACGTACTGCGATCTATGTCAAGCTTGCTGGTGAAGGTGTGCGAACACAATAGCTGGGTGAGACAAAGGGCGACAAGCTCTCAGGGAAGTTGGGAACACCTGGCTCTGAGGGGCTCCCGGTTGGTGGGCTGGCTGAGGGATGCAGCGTGTCTGATGCTTCACCCCGTTGGTGTACTAGCTTCACTAGCTCGCTGTGTCGTATATGCTCCAGGTTCTCGGGCTTTCCTAGTCTATCATCTGCTGAGGCTTCGGTTCCCGACATGCGACGATTATAGCGGCATGTGAACTACCATACCATATCTCTTGTTCAGAGTGGTGCTGAGGAGCTGTCCCTGCCCTTCCGACTTGTAGGGAGCCTGGTACTGCCCTCCTCGTTAGAGTCTCTCTTCAGGACCATTTGATTACAGTCACTTACTGGCTCACTACGTCGGATGTGTGAAAGGTATTCAGTTAACAGGCGATGTCACCGTTGAAGCTTGCTTATCCTAGCCTTGCCGACAGAAGGGGTACACGGGCTTCGCCAAACCTGCTGTTATTCTCCGGGTGCATGCAATCTTATACCGGGCTAGCGCATCCGGCATGGTCGACTATATAAGCCAGATGATTGATCTCATTCATCGGAGTAAATTATCCAGTTGAAGTGGTGCTAATTAATCGCTCACCCGGCACTACTGCCCGTCTCGATAACCGATACAACCCAACGCGCACGTTCCTTGATTGCCAATCCAGGTACCATCAACTGGGCTCCACCAGGCTCGTACGAGGCTCATATCCGAGCAAATCCGGAGCTCCTCATATTCTCATGGTGTTGGATGTGCACCTCGAATGACATCCTACGCTTAATTTTGTTTCCGCGATATGAACATTGGCCCGTTCTTGTCCCGTCCAAATCCTTTGGGACCGGACCATGGGGTGGCAGTATGCATGTCGTCCTGATTCGAGGAAATGTGCTGGGAGCCCGTGCGATGCACCTGCTTTACGGTAGATACCTCGTAAGCAATCAGTTACGTAGGTGGACGGCAGGCTAGCCACTCTGCAGCCAGCGGCTGCGCGTGCATGCTACTAATGCATGGCGCAGACACACACACCATGTACGTACGGGTGGCTCACTGTCTTCTGGTCAGCGTGCCCCTCGATGGGCGGTCCAGAAGGTGTGCTCTACGGCGGGATTGTCGCGTTTTGCGCACTCCATATTCACCCCAGTGAAATGGACATGGGGTGTGAAGGGCCAGGGATGTGCGGAGGTGCCAAATGGGGTGGTACATCACCGCGGGTTGCTGGATCGGATTCTAGATGAGACGCCTTACGAGCTGCATGCTAGGGCCAGCGTGGGTGCGTTGCATGGTAAGTATGAGGTGCGGATTTTATATCCTGTCGTTTCTATTGATTTGCTACTTCATTGGGGCGAGTACCAATGATATCGAGTGAAAACATCTCCAGGAAAAAAAGAGAAGGGAAAAAGAAAGATAGCCGAACGCGGGGGTTGAACCCGCAACCTTGAGATTAAGAGTCTCACGCTCTGCCGATTGAGCTAGCCCGGCTGGCTGTTGAGTGCGGCGTCAAATTATGGCTACATAAGCCAGGGTAAAGGGCAACTCATCATTACCTGCATAGTGAACCAGAACCAGTGAGCAACTACAATGATTTCTATGGTTCTCTACATCTGCACCTTTGACTCCACGAGTCCAAGTCCTATCCAATCTATGCTCACGCTTGTGGCAGGGCCCGTGGAATGCTGTGTCGCTGAGTGATGTTGAGTGGTCAGACTGGGATATATATTGCTCCCGCCTGTTATCCATCCATACGGGGATCCAATACTCCCGTCTGTGAAGTACCAACCGTATATTGGCCACCAGTCATATTCCAGCCACAAGTCTAGCTACCCACTCTCCGAGCACGTCTAGACCAGAGCCGCGCATCGAAGCAGGGGACAAGCAAACAGGCAAAGCCGACCAAAGTTCGACCGTCCATAGTACACCGTACAGCAATTGAATCCCTCCAATCGGCTCAGCCCGCCGGGAAGAGCATGCCAGAAGTCACACCACCAAAACACCATCTACTCCGGAGAGAGACCAGGTCAGTCCGGACTTATAGCGGCTCAGTTCCTGCCGAGTCATGCTCCCAACCTATCGTTGGTACGCTGGAGGAATGTAGGTGCAGTTTCCGGCCGCTGTAGATGACCAGCGTTGCTGCCATAACAGCAAGCCCATCACGTGGTGAACGCACGGATCAACTCGCTTAGCTTTCCGCCTATTTAATGCCGCTTGAGGCTATTCTGCCTCTACCGTTCACTTCTCCCTCGATGTTCTTATTCCGCACTTCTGCTCAGTGCAGAAGTGCTCTGCTAGATCATCACCTGCACAGTATTCTACTCACTGTAACTCCCAGCCTTGATCAATGATGTCCCCTGCACCCATCGCTGCAGAAGCGCAGCAAGACCAGCGGCTGGAAACCCTGGCTCGAGCTTTCGAAGCTCTTCTGATGACCGCCCAACAACTGAACTGCAAGGAGAAAAGCTTGCAACAAAGGCTGGAATATGCCTCCGACGAGGTAAATACTCACCCTCTTTTTTCACTATTCCCTGCCCCCCTGTGTCTCAAAGGACGAGAAAAATCGATTAGCTCTAGATCAGGAGTCGCTTCGGCGGCGGTGACGGATAAGTCATGTATTATCTGATGAGACTTGACACACATGCCTTGCTTCATACCCATATGTACCTGGATGCACATGCTAACGGGTTCTCAGTATCTCAAGCTCGCAGGAAAGCTCCCCGGCGGAGTTGACGGTCATACCAAAGTCGTTGCGGATAAGATTCTTGGTCGCTATTTCGATTACGGCCACAACCAAAAGCAAACCATAAATCCTCCGGACGTAGTAAAGGCGCTTGGCGAGTCCGGGAACGTAGGGGATCTCGCCATGACCGCTATAAAGGAAGGGCTGACGTGCTATCAATCCATCATCCCTCCACTTGAGGCTAGGCCGCTCTCGGATTTCAACTCGTGTCTTGTGGCGACGAGAGCCGGAGTGCCTGCTCCCCTAGAGAAAGACTTCACTACCAAGGGCACGCAGGGAAGTTTGCGTTGTCCTTTTGCGAAGCATAACAATAAGACCTCTGAAAACGGTGTGTCCAATCACAATGGGATCGAGGATCCCCTAAAGGACCAGAATGGGGATGCGTGTGGACATGCCGAACTAGACCCTATCAAAGCCGAACAGAGTGATAGACGCTCGAGCCGGGCACCATCGACGCGGTCGTCGGCCACCCGATGCCCGGTTTCTCGGTGTCCTATAAGGTATCTAGACCAGCATAGTCCGGAGGAGATAGCCGACTATGTTGAGAGACACAAGCATGAGATTCCTCGAAGCCATGCCGTCTGCGTTCAACGGTACCAGCGGGACTCGCAGACTATGCGGCAGCTGGATGCAAAGTACGGTAGCCTTATCAATATGATCCAAGGCTTGTCCGCCAAACATCGGGCGTTCCTGCCGGAGCAGAGCCCAAATGGCACGGCACCCTCGAGCTCTTCTGCTGAACGAGTGGAGAAATGGGCGCAGGAAGTTGGGCTGAAGTCGGAGATGCATCCCACGATCAAAGAAGAGGAGGAGGAAGAGGCGGCGGCGGCGGCGGCGACGACGACTGAACAGGCGGAAGAAGAGAGGAAGGGCCGTTTCGATCGTCCTCTGCGTGAAATCCGGGTTGGCGAATCCCCAAGCAGGCCCTGGGGGATTCCTGTCCCGGTATCACCTCTACCTCCCACCGCATCAGCACCTGATTCACCCGCTGTACCTGCTGCTGCGGCCTCCATCGATCCGGCCCCATCCAAGCCGGCCAAACCCGCGGCCGCAGATGTACCCTCGATGGCGCCTCTTGGTGACACGGCTCCGCCCAAGAAGGGTCGGTGTCCCTTCGGACACGGTGCGCCCTCCGGTGACAAGCCAGCACCCAAGATGGAGACCATCCCCAAGCATGATGAAGCAACTGCAGCCGACGATCCTGTTGAGCAGAACGACGGTGAAGCACGCGATACTCCCCCCAGCCCACCGAAGAAACCAGCAGCCAGCATCGTGTTCAATGGACCGGTGTTTTTCGGGTTTCCAGCCGAGCAGACTGCCGCGTTCCTGCAGCAGCTGGGCCAGCTGGGAACGAATGGGCTGTCCTAGAGGGGAGGGACTTGATGACATGATTTGATTCTTCCTGCATATACTTACTTACCCTGCCGCATGAGATATCCCACCTGTCTGTATACTTTATCATGATGTCATGACTACCTACTGTTAATGATATCCTCGGACTGTGTTTCGCATTATTGCATCGAATTATCTTAATCCTTTTGAATCAAGATTGCCCATCTGTCCAGGTAGACCTTGTCTTGTAGATATAGATAGTGTAGATAGATCGATGCAGCCACCGATGTCGGGCGGGGCGGGCCAGGATTGGCGACTTTCCCGCGGGAACAGGCGGGCCTCGCAGCCTGCCAGCTTCGCATCCCGCCGCATCTCGTCCTGCCCCTCCCCCTCATGTTCTGTTCCAGCTCGCGAGTCCTTTTCTCCCGTCTAACCTCCTCTCGTCTCTCTGCCCCCCTCCTCTCTCCTCTTCAACACGCTCGTCTTCCCATCCGCACCCCCCACCAATTCGTCACCATGTCCACCGGTCTCGACATCGTCCACACGGCTGGCGCCGCCCAGCGTAAGTCCTCTCCCCACCCTACTTCCAACATCAATGGCATCCCCAAGCGAAGCACAGCAGAGCAGACGAGAGCACTACAAATCCCTCAATCCCATTCCAGTCCCCAATAAACCCAAATCCCACCCAATCCGCAACCCATTATCATAAACTGCTAGCTAACGAACCCAACTCTAGCCGTCGGCCCCTACGTAAGAACCAACCCCAACCCGAACCCCAACAACACCATCACGAACACCAAGACTTCAAAGAACCACCTCCTAACCGATCCCCACAGTCCCAAGCCATCAAGGTCAACGGCCAGATCTTCCTCTCGGGTCAGATCCCCCTCACCAAGGATGGTGTCCTGATCCAGGGTTCCATCACCGAGAAGACCCGTCTCTGCTGCGAGAACATCAAGGCTATTGTTGAGGAGGCTGGTTCTAGCGTCGATAAGATCTTCAAGGTTACGGTGCGTTTTGATTAATTACCCCTCCCCTTACCTCCCCCCTGCTCTTCAAGGTAGAGGTGGAGGATCGTGGGGTTTTGGTTCAAGGTTGGCTGATGGTTGATTGTGGATAGGTCCTGCTCGCTGATATGGCCGACTTCGACGAGATGAACCAGGAGTACGCCAAGTTCTTTGCCCACAAGCCTTCTCGCTCGTGCTTTGCTGTTAAGCAGCTGCCTAAGGGTGTGCCGGTTGAGATTGAGTGCATTGCTTTGGCGTAAGGATTGTATATGATGTGAATAGTTGGGTAAAAAGCTACTGCAGAGTGTATCTTTATCTATATAGTGTACCGTTGTCGTTAGGGGACGCGTGTCTTCCATGGCTGGTTCTATCCGGGTTACCATGGTAGATACGTTGCCCTACGATGTCATTAACCGTCATGCTCGTGACGCCCGTCGGTATGCATGGCTGCTTGGATTAGACTACAATTATGCCGTATTTGAAGAATAAAAATAAGATAAAGCTCGACAGCTTCCCAAACAATGTCCAACCCGTAGGCGCAGCGCTCCCTGAATTGCAAACAAACTAGACTTGGGAATCATCACGTCCATACCAAAGAAGCCAAATGATGCTGCATCATGCTGAAACGCAGAGTGAAAGTCAACAACAACAACAACAACAACAACAACAACAACAACAACAACAACAACAACAACAACATAACAATCGCCACGAATATCGGTCCTGCCACTCCGGATCTTCATCGCCGGCCTAGGGTCCCGGTCATCCGTCCCCCTGCCCCCGCCATCAGGCTCTGTTTCACAATGGCATCTGCTGCCGCTGCCGCCGCCAGCCGCTCCTTTTGCCGACTGCGGTCGCGCAGGTAGCCCGCAGCCTCCGGACGCATACGTAGGATCCGCAGGATCATGTCGTCGTTCGGTTCCGCCTGGGCCTCCCGCCATTTCTCCTCTTTCATCTTCTTCATCGTACCAAGGTTCCGCGAGAGCATGATGCTCTTGGCCCGGCGTGCACTGGGGAGGCCCAGCACGCTGCCGGTCCCTGCGGCGCCGAGGTGTGGTGGAGCAGATGCCCGGTTCTTGTTGGCCTGCTGGCGAGAGATCGTTGCAGAGGCCATCCGCTCTGAGGTGCGGATCAGGGTCTCGGTGGGCTCGAAATAGAAGAAGTTCAGAGTCTGAATCTCGTGGTATTTGGGCGATTTCAAAATATCGATTGACACGCCATTGGCTTCGCCAGTTTCTTCGTCAACGGCGTGGAAGAAGTTCAAAAGGAGCACCAGCCAGCGTGAGACGACATCCACCTCCTGCATGGTGAGTGGCTTTTGGTGGGAGGGTTTGTCGGACAATGGAGGCACCAGCAAACTCTCGATGGTAGCAAGCACTTCCTTCCACAGACGGGCCATGACCATTTTCATAGCTTCCGAGGTGAGAGTCTTGTTCATGATCGCAAAGTTATCGTTGAAGTAGTCGAAGAGCGGGGTCAGCGCATTTTCCACGTCCGCGGTGGACGGAGTGGCGGTGGTCGATTGAGCTCGATTCCGGTTCAAGAAGTTGGACACGCTGGAGATGGTCAGCCCTCGCGACAGCATTGATTTCAGCGTCCGGCGCGATAGACAGTGGCTGATATATGCGGAGAGCTAGAGGATCCCATGTCAGCAACAGCTCTGTAGGCGCTCAAGAGATGACGGCCCATGGCTTACCTTTTCCGTAATCTTGCGAGTCATGTCCCTCTCCGTCCGCTTCAATGTCCGGAACGCCTTGCCGAAGTAGAACTGGATGTCGTCGCGTTCTCCTTCCATGCTCACGCGAAGTAGTAGTCGGCCCTGGGTGTCCAAATCGAGCCAGTACTCCCTTGGCAAGAAATCGCTGAAATGCACGGGGTCGAGCTTGATAGAAGTCCGACCGACGTAGTCGTGGTCACCGACGGCATCCCAATCCCAGATCGTTGCGATGATGTTAACCGGGCCCTGGGTCGTAATATCGACGGCATCATCCCACCGCGGGTTGAGGTTGTTGTAGATAATGCGAGTTTTGGCTATGCGCTTCTGATATTCGTCGGCCAGCACGACGTAGGGATCGCTTCCGCCGTTCATATCACATGCCTTCAAGTCTTCTGCTTCCACCACCTTGACCGTGAAAACATACGTCGTAGACTTACGGATCTTCTGGAGCTGGGGCTGAGCATGGGTTGCTATCACTTCAGCGCAACCATCCACATTGATCTCGGCTTCAAGCTTGTCCAGCTGAGAAAGCGCATATTCGACGTTATTCAGTTTGACCAGAGACTGCATTCTCGTTAGCCAAGCTGACAGCCAGCTGTGCCCCTAGATGGATATACGTACTTCGGGAAAGAACTGGAACGGCTCGATCTTTTCTTTGCTCGCCCATGCTTCCTTAGCGAATTGCATCAGCCTCTCTTGGGCAGTTTGGTTCATAGCGGCCTCTTGATCGGGAGACAGTCGATCCATCTCCTTCGCGAACATCTGCTCCAAAGATTCACAGTATCTTGCCACGCCACCCCCGATGGATTTGGACAAGGCGGTCATGAATTTGGCGTACTGGAAATCATCATCCCACTCAAGGGATATCATCTGCTCGACAACCTGATTGAAAGAGCGGAAAATGTCAATCACAGATACGCTGTGCCGATTTTCCTCCGGAACCGCTTCTTCCGCCATGCCGTCCGCTCGAACGCTGAAAGCATCTTGCTTGACGGCCTGTTCAACCCACTCCGTGACCCTCGCATCAGTCAGACGGATCCACCGCCAGACAAACTCCTCCATCAGTCCTTCGACGTGGAATGGGAAGGTGACACTGTATTCTCAGTTAGCACCGCGAGCCTTGCGACGAAGCCGTGGGGAAACGTACTCAGGAAGTGCTTCCGTGAAGAGACGACGGATGTCCGCCAGCTGCTTGTACAGATCGAATCCATCTTGAATATCGGTCTCCTCGCCCCTCACCTTTTCGAGCTCAATTATTCTAACCACCATCTCGTGTGCATCCTCGGAAAATATCGGAAGCACGTTAGACAGCAAGATCAGGTAAGGGTTGACCCTGCATCTCAGTTAGCGAGCAGCACAATAAAAGGTACGCGAGGGATGCGGCGTTTTCTTACCCCATAATTTCGGGATTTTTCCGGTAACGCTTTCTGATCTTCTGTGCAAGTTTAGTGATGGCATCACAGAGCTGGATGATGTGGTCCAGCTCCCAGGACTCCGGTTCGACTGGGATCAGCTGTCCCAGAAGCTCTTGGTATTTCTCCGCGGCTTTCTGTGCGAGCCCGTCCTGCACGTATGAGCGGAAACGTTCGATGTCCTCGACGTCTTCGGTGTAGTTGGGATCCAGTTGGATATGATTTTCCAGTACGTACATGACCGGACCGATGGGACGAGGCTTTCCTTCATAGCAATCCATCATCACATCGTACAGCTCTCTGAGCAGGGCTTCATGAAGGGAGGAGAGTATCTGCTGCATCAACAGAAGGTCATGGATCGTCCACTTTTGCCTGTCATAGAGAACGGAAGCGACAAAGCTACTGCGCCTCTTGCCTTCTGCAGACGGCGATTCTTTCACGAAAGTGAAAGCCGAATCAAGTGTATTGAGATCGATTTCGTTATCCACAAACTTGGACCGGGCAACATCCAGAAACAAGACTATCCTGGTAAAGCTTGGAATCCGCCAGCGAAGACAGACCTCGTTTAGGAATTCCGTCGACTGCTTTGAAAAGAGCTTCATTGACGGGACCTCCGACGTAGCCTGCGTTGCCTCGATCTCGCGGTCTTTCAGGTCATGGCTCAGGGTCTGGGCCAGTATGAACCGATACATGAATCGGGGATCTTGAGGTATGTACGTATATGTATCAGACTCATCCGAAGGCTCAGTACCGTCATCACCCAAAGATAGCGAACTGAGATCCAGAGACTGATCTATGACATACGACGACGGCCTATCGGAGTTTGTCCTCGACAGCTCCCCTGCCGGATCATGATCACCACCATTTGGGTTGAAATGTGGAAGCGCACCCGGGGTGCTTTTTGCGAGTTCGGGGTTTGACTGCACAATAGCAAGCATCATCTGCGACAAATCAGGACCCTCATTCTTCTTCCAGAGTTCGTATGCATCCTCATTCTCGAAGTCTTCCTGAGACAATGTTTTCCGGGTCTTGAGGTTTAGATGAGCCTGGTAAGCTTTCAGATCCTGAAGGGCCGCCTTTCCAGTCCAAGCCCCTTTATTCTTATCTATGTCTGCCTGTACCTGGCTCAAGTTCACGTCAAAGATCTTCGCCACATGTTGAACAAGTGGCATATCCTTGACGTCGTAACTTAGAGGGGCAACAACTTCCACTGTGGTTGTGCCATTTGTTTGCACGAGATCTTGATCCTGGGAGAGCAGTTTGTTCTCCAAGACTGACAAACGGTTTGCCAGCTCAGGGCGTTCTTTTGCCCAATCGTGGTCCTTCAGGATAAGCGCGAACAAACGAACAAAAAGTGCCACGTGTCTGTCTACCATCAACTTCCAGTGATCGTCTTCAGGGTCTTTCCCCTTGCTAAGTTCCTTAGTCGCATTCGAGTAGAAGATGAGGACGAGGTCTTCGGCCCGCCGGTCCTTCTCCATGCGCTTCTTAAACGACTGGTCCTTCAGGGTATTGAGAAATGCAGCGAATGTCCTCACGACCAGCGTGTCTTGGTATTCTTTCCGCTTCTCTTTTCCAATCAGGACGCCTGTCAGCCTCTTCTCCAGCTCTGCGATGAATCCATGAGGGATGCGGGTGCTCTTGGAATCCCGCACCAGGGAGAAATCGCTCATCAGGTCGTGGAACGAGGTCGAGGCCCTTTTGGGCCTCTGAGGAACGGGTACATTCTGCACACGACGCGAGCGAGGCTGGAGAAGGTAGGCGAGGTAGGCTACTCGGAGAGCGTAATTGTAGGCAGTCGAGGAGTTGACGGGGCGCCTGCGGGACCCCGAGAGACTGCGCGAATGGCGGGATTCATTCTGAAGGCTGTTAATCCGTCGGTTAATGCCTCGGGACTGAGTAGATGCTGTCGACATGAGCGGGAAGGTGGCAACTCAGGGCTCTATCCAGATCGTGCTGTGTTCGGGGGTGCGAGGGGAGGAGCGGAGGGCGGGACCATGGGTAGAGGAGAGGAGTCGCTCGCGATCAAACCACCAGCATCGGCTGGGGGGGAGGGAAATACCACGCAAGAAAGAGAGCCTGGGCAAAATCCCTCAATTCTCGAAACCGAGGAGGCGGAGCCAGACTGGGAGAGAAACGCCGCGGGGAATGTTGGCGGCTAGAGGGACGAGCAAGAAAGGGGCGGTGGTAATTCACGGTGGTGGTGGTTGGTGGTCTGCTCTGCGGCACCTGAAACAGAAAAAAGCTCCCGACTCGACTGACGTAGTGGGCGTCGTCCTGCCAGTCGCACCATCGTCAACCCGCCAAACCCCTGCCAGAAAGCCCAAATTCTCGACGGCCGAGAGACAGGCATTTGCGCAGGCCCTCTGACATTTCTACCGCGTGCATTCCGGCGCCGTAGGCATGTGGTGGCTACTTTGGTGATCTAGACCGCTTAATCTACATCCCGCGGGCCAACTGGAGAATCGCGTATCCGTTCCTGAAAAGCAGTCCATTATACGGAGTACTGTACGGAGTATCCTCACATGTAGCTGACCCAAGTCTCGTTCCCTGTTCACCTTCCACGGTATTCCTCCCCTTGATCGCCCGTTTGGACCCTTGGACCGTACTTGTGCGAGTTCCTCACGTATATTGAGCTCGCGCTCGACACTCTACTTCCCCACCGTGAGTGTGCATCAACATGGGTAATGCCGTGAGCACCTGAGCCCGGATAATACTTCCGCAGGCCCCATCGCTAGGACTAGCCCTCCCCACCAGCATCGACTGAAGAACACTATCCATGGACGCCGAGAATAAGATTCGTATTGTATTTATGTACACACCATGTAAAAAGCTGCTCACCAGCTGGCCTCGGAGGGCTTACGAGCCTGCATTCCCTTCGTTAGCGCAACGCCTGACCAAGATTCTATGAGGGGAGTCATGGACGCACCGGAGCAGCACCCGGTCCGCCGAGCTCCTTCTCCAAGCCGTCGGGAAAGGTCCTGGGGATGCTGGGCTTGTCGGGGTAGAACAGGCTGACGACACCGCACACACCCAGGAAGGTAACAACGAACGCTCCGAGCTGGAAGAGACCCTTGCGAGCCGTGACGTGGGTATATTGTTCGGGACTGAAGACACCGAGAATTTCGTTCTCCTCGTGAACAGGCTCGCCAAAGTTGCGTCTCTCCTGCTTGTCCCACCAATCGCCGTAAGGGTCTCTGAAGGCGCGCTTAACACGGGGCGGGTTCTGGTAGTTGCCGTTCTGTATGACGAGACAAGCGGCGTCAATCGATGGAGAAAGAGAGCAATTGGGGTCCGAGTGCACATCCTACCTGCAATGGGTCTTCAACCTCCGCAGCCGCAAGACTCCGGACCTGGGAGAATGAGGCGCGAGGCACGCTCTGCCGGGCGGCCACCTGAGGCAGGCGGCGGGCCAAGATTCGTTGGGCCAGCATCTGGCGATCTGGGTTAGCAATGGGATTGATATGGCCGGAAGAGACAGAAGGGCAGGATGAGGAGCGCGGGGAAACTGACTATGTCTGCTGTCGATAATTGGGGGAATGAGGGGAGGTGAAAGACAACTAGGGGTAGACCGGAAGGCTCAGACGGGCCATGAGATGAAGTGCAAACGGCCGTCTCGATGACGGATTTGGGGGGCTGTGATTGGTGGACGCCATATGCATGCCTCAGGCGAGGAGGGCCCGCGGGCTGCCTGCCTGAGGTTGGTCGCGTTGCTTACATACTCAGCTTCCCCCCCAGTACTCTCTTCGTCACTGTATGAATGAAAAAACCACCTCTTCACGCAATCTTGCCATCCCTGTGGTTTTCCGTCCACCCGTCACGCCCTCGTGCCGATAACTATGCCAAATTTCTGGTGGCACTTTGACTCACTTACCGCTACACGTTGATGCCATTTTCTCTCCCCTTGACCGCGTCCTCGTTGGGAAAACTGGGGTCAGCTGTGCACAGGGCCCCTGTCTCCGTGGTTACAAGACATGCAAAACGGCAGTCCGAACGGAATCTCCCACCAAGATGAATGCGTGACCCCCAAACCCAAGGCCTTTTCGACCGACCTTCCTGCGCCCGAACATCCAACCGAGTCACAGACCTATGATTCGATCGCTTCTGAGCTTAAAGAAGACGAATCCACGCCCGCAACTGATCAGCTCGAAGGCCCTCCCTCCAAGAAGCGAAAGCTTGTCGGCCCCACCTCCTCTCGTCGCTCGACACCCCGTGCAGCATCGCCTCCATGGAAGAAGGCTGGTGTCGATGGGCCAACATCCTTCATCCAGGATGGGAGGCGTAAATCCTCCCGAGTTAACGCGCTCCCCCTCGATCTGCAGAGTCCCTCCGACAAAAGACACACGCGCAAGGCCCAGAATAAAGTCATAGGCAGGAATGTCTCGAGTGCTACGAGGGGAGTCGCGTCCCTGTCATCAATGTCCCCGCCGCAGCCGGAGTTAAATGGGAGGTCTGTTGGAAGCAGCGCTGCAGTCAATGGCTCCCCCAGAAATACGATTACAAGAGGCTCGACCAGCAGACGCCGTCGTATCTCGCAGTCACCCGCCCCTAAGCAGCCGAACGCGCGAACACGATCCTACAGCTCTGGCACTTCGCGTCGGACCTCGAACATCAGCTCCGCCGGTCCCAGTCGACCACATCGTTCGTCTATGAATAATGTCCCGGCGACAATGGCCAGGACCGGGGATACTGAATATGAGGACGCAGATGAGGATGAGTCTGGTCAGCGGGGCCCACGGTTGCGGATCAAGGTCAAAAGGCTGCCCATCGGCATTCAGCATCCAGGCCACGTCCTGGCACCACGGAAGTACAGCTCGTTCAGAGAATGGTTGGAGAGTGAAGATGGGAGAATACGAGATCCTTCGGTACTCACACCGGCTGATGCGCTTGGGGAGGCTCTGAAGAGGCGCCGAATAGCCGTAGCAGCTGAGCCGGGAGGACTTCTAAGCCCGGAAGTCTGCTCGGCCTATCTGCCCGAGCAACAAGAGGAGCCGTCACAGCAGTATTCGCACCAGGACCATCTTGTCGCGCATGCGTTATACTTCAAGAAGCTTCTCGACCAGGAACATAGACGTCATCGCAATACAGCCAGGCTATTCGCTCAGTGGTGCGCGGAGGTGTGGAGGAAGCGTAACAAGAACCCGGAGGATATTCTACGGGAACAGCAGGAGGAGATGCGCGGCAAGCGCAAGCAGCTAGCCAAGGACCTCCAGAAGATGTTCGACCTAGCTCGAGCGGAGGTGGACCGGATGCGCTTAGCACGATGGGAGGAAGAGCGGAAGGCCGAAGATCAACAAGCGCTGGATCGTGCTATCAAACAATCTACAATGCTTTTCGAGAAGCGCCGCATGGAGATTCTTGGAGAAGGTGGGAGCGACGCGCCCGATTCTAGCGATGGGGAACACGAGGATACGGATGAGCTATCGGATGACTCGGAAGATGAAGACAATATGTCATCTACGGACTCGGGAAGTGAAGATGAGGAGAACATCGATGACGACGAGGGCTTGACGGCGGAGGAGCTGCGGTTGAAATATGCTAATCTCCCGAACACTGACCATGATTCCGATCGCGAGTCAGTGGCTTCTGATGCTACAGCCTTCTCCGAACGAAGTGGCACCTCAGATGTTGATCGTGTGACAGATCGTGCTACTGAGTCTCTTGATCCATCAGCAGAGGTGCAGCCCGAACTCGAAGAAGTGGATCCCATGCTATTAGACGACAGTGAAGAAGAATCTACTGATATGGACGACGATATGGGCGACACCGATGAAGACGAAGACTCTGAAGCCGACTCTGACGCGGAAAGTGATGGACCTGGGCTTTTGGGGTTCTTTTCCTCCAAGGACATGGCCCTGAACTATGACAGCCAACACAGCGATGCCGACGAGGGCGAAGATGTCGTGAACGTCGACGATGATGTCGATGTCAAATTAGCATCAGCTGCGGAGGACGAAGACGATGAACCGGAGGATCCCGATGAAGTCTCCCTCGTGCCCAATGGACCAGCGCCAGAAAAATCGATCCCTCATGACCAAGCCAAAAGCAATTCTGCTACTGTCCCTGATCCTGCTTTGGCATCTCTTTCTGCTTCAGGTTCACCTGTCAATATGGCAATCGATACTGAATTCCAGTCGGTTGCTGAACCTTCCTCGGATTCGACTCCTGTGCCTACTCCCGCCGAAAATGAGACCCCTGTTGTCGAAATGACAGACGCCATCTATGACGAAGACACGGTTCTGCCTGACGAACCCGATGAAGTAGGTCAGCATAAACCTTCTGAAGAGGATCCCGCTGTCCATCACGATGACCATCACGGAACCCACCATGACGCCTACCAAAGCGGCGAGCCCTCGAGTGAAGCATCCCCGGGTACGCTTGCCACCAAACCATCGGAACCCGAATCTGTCTCATCGTACGAATCCCCAGAGAAGCCCCCGCAGCCGAGCGAATCCCCTGCTCCTGGGCTGAAAACGCCGGTGCCGCACCTTCTCCGAGGCACTTTGCGAGAGTATCAACATTTTGGTCTGGATTGGCTTGCTGGGCTCTATACAAACCATATCAACGGCATTCTCGCCGATGAAATGGGTCTTGGTAAAACAATTCAAACGATAGCATTGTTGGCACACCTGGCCGTGGAGCATGAAGTCTGGGGACCGCACTTGGTTGTCGTGCCCACCAGTGTGATTCTCAACTGGGAGATGGAGTTCAAGAAGTGGTGCCCTGGCTTCAAGATCATGACCTATTATGGGAACCAAGAGGAGCGTCGGCAAAAGCGAAAGGGCTGGATGGATGATACAAGTTGGAATGTCTTAATTACGTCCTACCAGCTAGTTCTACAGGATCAGCAAGTGCTGAAGAGAAGAAGCTGGCATTATATGATCCTTGATGAAGCGCACAACATCAAGAACTTTCGCTCGCAAAGGTGGCAGGCCCTGCTCACGTTCAGAACACGAGCCCGACTCCTGCTCACCGGCACACCGCTCCAAAACAACCTGACTGAGCTGTGGTCGCTGTTGTTCTTCCTAATGCCTTCCGATGGCGACGAAGAGGGGATTGAAGGGTTTGCTGATCTGCGGAACTTCTCTGAGTGGTTCCGACGCCCCGTGGAGCAAATCCTGGAGCATGGCAGAGAAACGATGGATGAAGAAGCAAAGCGGGTGGTCACCAAACTTCATACCGTGCTTCGACCCTATATCTTGCGTCGTCTCAAAGCCGACGTGGAAAAGCAGATGCCGGCCAAATACGAGCATGTCGTCTACTGCAGACTCTCGAAGCGTCAGAGGTTCCTGTATGATGGCTTTATGTCCCGCGCGCAGACAAAGGAAACCCTTGCGTCCGGAAATTACCTGTCCATCATCAATTGCCTTATGCAATTGAGGAAGGTCTGCAATCATCCGGATCTCTTCGAGACCCGGCCCATCTCCACGTCGTTTGCGATGTCCCGTTCCGTGGCTACGGAGTATGAGGTCAAGGACCTTCTCGTTCGCCGGCGACTGTTGTACGAACACCCACTCACCAGGCTCGACCTAGACTTCCTCAACTTGGTGCCCATCTCGCGAGAAGATATCTCCCGGCGGTTGGCCGATGACAGCACCCGGCTCATGGCCTATGGTCCCTTCAATACGCTGCGGGAACGCCAGTACCACCGCACCAACTGGCAGATGAGCTTCAATGGCACCACGGTGCAGTCCACCCTGGATGCGCTCGAGAACGAGTCCCGGAAGAGAAGGATGGCAGAGCTAGAGAGATGCCTCTACTTCGAATCCAAGCGTCATGGTCGCCGCCCGGTGTACGGATCAAGTCTTATCGAATTCCTCACGGCCGACAGCAAGCAGCGGCCTACCTCGAACGGGCCCCTGCGAAAACGCTCCTTGGCCGACTGGCTGTCGAGTCGGTCGTCCATCCTCGCGTCGATGATCTTGTCTATAGAAGAGCGGTCGCAGGCGATGGATGGTTATATTCAAAGATTCGCCTGCGTTACCCCTGCCGCAGTGGCATCTGGGATCACGGAGGCAGCCCTGACTCCCATAGAAACCAGGTACCTTACGAAAAAGGAACGGTTTCCGCCATATGACCCATTCCATGAGGCACAGATGCGTCTATCGATCGCATTTCCCGACAAGAGACTTTTGCAATACGACTGCGGTAAATTGCAGAGACTTGATAAGTTGCTTCGAGACCTCAAAGCAGGTGGCCACCGGGCCCTGATCTTCACTCAGATGACCAAGATGCTCGACATCCTGGAACAGTTCCTCAACATCCATGGACATCGATACCTTCGGCTAGACGGTACTACTAAGGTCGAACAGCGTCAGATCCTTACCGATCGCTTCAACAACGACAATCGCATTCTGGCCTTCATCCTGTCCAGTCGATCCGGAGGTCTGGGCATCAACCTGACGGGAGCTGATACAGTCATCTTCTACGACCT